TTCTCCATATGATATTTATAAGTTATCAAGAACAGTTCAAAAACCATCACAAATTAATGAGAAATAGATAGAGTAATTTGATGAAATATTTTTTTAAAAAGAATATTTAAATCAATTAGACGGATATTCGATCAATAATTTAATGTCAGTTTCATATGTTAAGGGTAATCCATTATCCATAAGTACTTTTGTTTGGGTGTGTGCGCAAGTGTCTATATACTCTAGGTGGTCCGCCTGCACCAGCGCAGACAAATATTTTTTTATGCATGAATTTTTTTGTTATAAATTCTTTTTTTTTATTATTTTTGTTGGTTTTTTTTAAAAAAAACAAACTGACATAAAATATTTCCATTTTACAGTGTGTTGGCTACTACACTTAATCTATTTAGCTAATTGCTCGCATCATATACAAAAACAAACAAATTTTGGGATAAGAAAACAATTGTAACTTTATTCACTCAAACCAAGATGTTTAAAAGGATACAATAAAGTTGAATGGTAAGAAACTAATTCTCTTTCAAATAATGAAAACCCATCTAAACGTGAATCGTGTTTCATCTCTTATCCAACTATATTTACTTGAAAATTAGCAAAAATATTAATATCATTAATTTACTTGAAAAGTAAGAAAAAAATATTAATATCATTAAGAAGATGAATCATATTTTGATTAAAAATTCAATGTGTATAAACTTAGCATTATTAGACAAATGTGACTTTTAGCAATATACACATCTAGTAATAGGATCAATAAAAATGTTTCTAACAAAAAATCTTGAAAAGTGTGAAACAATTTACTTGGAAATTATCAAGAAAGTATGAAAAACTTATTTGTTAGTGTACACATTTGAGGTCCAAACTTGCCACCATGTAACACTAAGAAAAATATCATAGTAAAAGGTTAGATCAGCAGTATGCTGTACTTATTCGTGATTGCTGTGTGGACAAAAAGAATTTACTAATAAATTATTTGAGTTTTATTGTTCATTTTAAAGGAACTCATCAATATAAACTCATTTCAAAGGTTTTTGGCTGGCTTTTATTTTGTATTATATACTCTACAATGTATTCCATCTTGTTATGAAATAAATTTTAGTGAAAAAATAATCACCAAATCATAGTTAAAACACGTCATCACACGAAAATTTGTGAACGTTTGGAGTGTGCGAGATTTATTGTAAAAACAAAAAATGTGCATATAGTAACTGCTGTAATAGATATTGATTCTGTATAGTCATAAACTTCGGTTTGTTTTATTCAACAATCGCAAATACGCCAAGCGAGTTGAATTAAAATCTAATAAAATATATACCAAAATATGTGTATATGAACGACCATCATTCGATCAAAGTCGGCGACTGAATTGAATTAAAATTCAATAAAATATATACCAAAATTATTATCTTTTGACATTAACATCGTGATTCTTTAGACTTAATATAGCTAGTATAGTTGATTATGCTCCAGTGCAGATGATTGACCTAATTCTTTAGACTTAATTTTATACACTTCTTGCACCTCATCACTGGATCCATTGTCCCATTCCAAACTATGGTCATCATATCGTTTTCCTCAATCTCGGAAGTACAATCACCACTATCTGAATCATCATCAGCAGCATCATCACCCAAATATTCAGATCCCCTACTTTAACCATCATCATCATCAGACTCGTCTAATTTATAGTCAGAAGAGTCATCATCAGTTCCAACATCACAAGTACCATCATTCTCATTAGCAAACCATCTTCATCATCAGACTCGAAGAATCATCGTCGGTTCTAGCATCACCATCTCCATCATCACTAAGATATTCTGATCCACTACTTAAATCTTCATCATCACTTGAATCGCCTAACACATGCTCGAAACGTTCGTACTCATCTATTCCATCTACTCCAAACATTATTGTTAGAAACACCACGAACAATTGAGCAAACAACAAAGAAATAATCATATTACCAATCATAAATCAGCGAGACCCAACTTTTATTTTTTAATTAAATAATACTAAAACACACATACCTTAGAAACCACGACAAATATGACGTGGATGAACTCATTATAGAATCCCATTTAAACGAATATAAGAGCATCGGTATAGGAGATCTCATGATACAAAGCTTTTAACATTTTCTTTTTATTAAAAAAATTGCTTTTTTCAAAAAATAAAAAAGAAAAATTTTGACAAATGGCGTCTCGCCACGTAATGGGGGAGACGCTCCTTCCGCCTCTGCGCAGAGAGCCGATTCTACCTTTTAGTCTTGCCACATTATTTTTTTATTTTTTTTTTAAAACCCTACTAAAGCTGTCTATTACAGATGCTTTCACCATTGTCTCGAAACTAAGAAAAACAAATATAACATCACAAATCAATAATAAAAGAATGGAAAACAAAAAATCCAAAACATAAAATAGATCGATAGCTTTAAAATAAATAAAACATTCACAAAGCATCAATACATATGCACTAACCATAAAGCACATAAGAAAATTCATCAAAGCCATTTTTGGCACATAAGATTCATGATTTGATAGGAAAACACAAACCCTAAAATACGATCGAAAACTATATATACACGAAAACTCTAGAGTTTATATATTGATATTTTTATATTTATATACGTAAGGATAATTATGAATCAAATATATCGATGTGAAAATAAGTGTTTAATTTGCATAAATACAAAAGATATTTTAAATAATAGAATATTTGCCGAATAAATTTATGGAAGATAACCAAATAAATATATGATTTATATATATCAATAATTGTTCATATAAATAATATTAATCCATATATTATAGTTAATTAATTTTATTAAAGGTAATTAAAGTCAATTCATATGAGGGATAAAGGGTAATCAACCATGATAACTCTCAATTACAGCCCAACTTGCTTGTCAATTAATAATATGATACTATACCATGTTTGATATTCATGATGATTTATGAAATTTTTTTATATATCGGATACATATATAAACTTTATGAAAAGTCTGAATATGAATAAATGTTTAAAAATCTAGTAAAATAGTAAACGATTTGTGTTATTTCATAAAACTTTATGAAAAGTCTGAATATTTTAGTTGTGTTACTAAAATAGTAAAAATATAGTAAAATATGAATAAACTTTATGACTAATCTTTTACTTGATGAAGAACATGATTGCGTTTTTTTTAGAAAATGGGGCTCCATTAAAAAGCCTACATATCGGAGTAATTAGAAAAGGCCCATTAAATAATGGGTATATTCTCTTAATTTTATAAACACTATGATTTGCTGATCCATTTAAAGAGCTAAATCGTATGTATCATCATCATTTAACTGAAATCTCGCATATAAATATTTGCGAATATTTTTGAAACATAAAAAAAAAAAAAATTATTCGAAATCTTCTAATGAGAGGAGCTTGGATAGCTAAAGATCACATAAAAATATTGTGTTATTACATAAAAACTTTATGAAAAGTCTTAATGTTTTAGTTGTGTTACTAAAATAGTAAAAATATAGTAAAATATGAAACCAAAAAACTTTATGACTCCTCTCTTTTACTTGATGAAGAACATGATTGCTTATTTTCTTAGAAAACGGGCTCCATTAAAAAGCCCATATCGGAGTAATTAAAAATGGCCCATTATATAATGGGTATAGTAGTAGTCTCTTAATTTTATGAACACTGTGGTTTGCTGATCCATCTAAAGAAAAATCATCATTTAACTGAAATCTCGCATATAAATATTTGCGAATGTTTTTGAAACATAATAAAATACAAAAATTATTCGAAATCTTCCAATGAGAGGAGCTTGGATAGCTAAAGATCACATCTCTGTTACAAGTGAGAGATGTTTTTACTATGTGTGGATATCTTATTATTGTTGTGGGTATTCTATGGACACTTTCACAATTTACAGGACCATCACTAATCTTCTATCATCATTTTCTCATAATATTGTCAAGCGGCAGCAAATATATTTTCACCATAACATTTTTTAGTTTGTTGAAAAAAAAAATTATTTGAAACTTGGAAAAACTTTGACAGCAGACTTCATCAACTGACTATAAACAAAAGTATACATCACCGAAACAACATATATTTTGATTATTTTCGTAAACCATTTCTAATAAATCAACTAATCTAGCTAGGCTTGTTACTAATTTATTTAATCATTCCTTAATTGTGCAAACATGACACGAAGTCGATAGTTGATATAAATTCGACGGATCTAAATTCGATGTTATTATAGGGCTTGATTGGTAAGTGCTGTAGAATCTGTACACAATCATAATTTTTTTAAAGCACTAAATTTTTTCCAATCATACTTTACACAGATTTTTTAAAGCTACAGATCTTTCTTTCATTTTTTAATTTTTTTGGCTGTAGAAAATAAAATATATAAAGGAAAAAATTTGAACTTTAAAAAATTAATAATCCTACAGCACTAAAATTTACAGAATTAAAATCTACAACCACAGCAAAAAAACTTACGGATTTATTTCTACACCAAAAAAAATTAAAGCTATGGCAGTAACCAAACAAGCCCATAAATCCTTTTTTTTCCGCGTGAGTGTGTAATTTTCAGCTTAATTTTGTTTTTTTTTTTTTTTTTTTTTTTTTTTTTTTTGTCTTCACTGGTCTTCTGCGTTACGAAGGTCATAGAAGAAAAGCTTTGTGCGCAGGAAAAAAACAATAGAGAAGAAAAGAAAACACACACAAGTGTGAGTGAGGAGAGAGAGAGAAAAAAGAGTGAAGAAATGTCAATGCTTCTTGGTTCAACGTTAATGGCAGTTAAGAGTTTCTGCTGATTTCTTCGTCCGTCACCTCAAGAAACTCAATCTCCCGCGTCTTTCTACTCAGCCTCTTCTCTTTTGCTCCAAGAACCCTAATTTCGCTTCCGCGTCGACCCTTCGATCACCCGTACTGTCTTCCGCGACTCGATTCGGGATCTACGGCGGGGAAAGCTAGCTATGGCCGCCCCGGAAAACGCGCAATCTAATTCGATGCAGGTGTGTGTCTCTCTAGCTCTCTCTCTCTCTCTCTCTCTCTCTCTTTGGTTAGCTAGTTATCTTCTCCTTCGTTACTCTGCGAGAGAAGGTAACTGAGAATTGGGTGCTCCTGAATCGTGACTAGTATGTATTGGTCATAGTTACGCAGCAATTGCGAATCAAATTTACTATTGAAGTGGGTTTTTCTTTGGAGGATCTCGAAGATGAGATTTTCGCTCTGTTAGTGTTGGGTTTTGTATAATGTGTCACTGAGAAGAAGTTGGAACTCTACATAACATCTTAAAGATGTACATAAGAACAGTATATACGATTCATGAGTTCAAGAACATCTACATTGGTGGTATATGCTCACTATTGTTGCCTTCTCATACTTGTCTCTGTTTTTTTCAGAGAGTGAAGGTTTACTGTTTGGATGAAGATGGTAAATGGGATGATCGAGGAACTGGACACGTCAGTATGGACTATATGGAGGTTTGTTCTAAATCCTATTATCTCTCCTGGATTCTGGAAATAAGTTTGTAGCTAAATGGAAACGATATAAAATGCAGCAATCAGAAGAACTCGGTCTATATGTGATCGATGAAGATGATAGCGAGACATTGCTTGTACACCGGATCAGCACTGATGATATCTACAGGAAGCAAGAAGGTAGCCATTGTGTATTGTGGTTTTGTTAGCTATTTTATAACTTGCGGTTTTTTTGTTTGTCTGCGTAAGTAGTATCTGTCTCAATGTACAGACACGATTATCTCATGGAGAGACCCAGAGCGCTCAACGGAACTGGCTTTGAGCTTTCAAGAAACTGCGGGGTGCTCTCATGTATGGTGAGTGACAAAAAAAAAAACATTTGGTATACTTTTGGATGAGCTTCCAGTTTACAGATCATTCTGCTGACTTCAAAATTGGTGCTTCATCCTATTCAGGAATCAAATATACACTATGCAACGGAATCTCCATTTCAATTCTCTGAACAGTAAGAGTTATTCCTGACCATCTATATAGTATTTGTTAAACTTTTGTACTAGTCTGATATTCTTCTCACATGCTTTTTCATTTTCTTATTATACTACATGTATCCTGTTAAATGTGTCATAGGACCGTATAGTTTGAAGTTTGCATTTTGATTTTTCTGTGATGATAGTTCAAGGTGTTTACATAGAAAGAGTTATCGAATATGTGTGGAAAAGTTTCTCATTAGCCATCTGTCAACATTTAGACTAGAATATTTGAAAAGAAATAAATTGTTTCAGCACTTTCACGATGATGAAACTTTTGATCGTTTTCTAAGCATTTTTGTTTTTCCTTATATTGGTCATGAATTTAGTTTTTGAACATAACCATATGATGACTGCAACTTTTTGTTTCAGCACTTTCATGATGATTAAAACTTTTGATCTCTTTCCAAGTATGTTTTTTTATGTATCGGTCACAGATTTATGTATCGCCTTTTCATCTTTGCTTGAGCAGGCGATACATTTCAAAAGAGTCTGTTGAGGGAGCTTCCTGATGTCCATATTTCTAATCTTCCCTCAATATTCAAGGTTCAAAGATAATACTGGTCTTGTGCTTTCTTTGCATTTTGGTTAGTTTAGATGCTTTATACGTCTTTAGTGCCTCAATTATGTTATAACTTAACAGACCTAATTGTAATGCCTACTTTTTTTACTCCCATTCTGGACTACTACAGCCCTAATTGTTTGGTCTCAGCTTAATTCATAATGTCAGTGTGCTCTCTATATGTGGATTTTAAGTATTTGTTTTCATCTTCCCTGCAGATTGTTACTGAAAGTGGCACTACAGATCAGATGCGGTTAACCAGACTTATGTTGAAGGATGTAAGTATTAAGTGCCTTCCAAATTTCATTCTTGTCTTATCCATTTCATTTAGTGTACTACCTCATTACTTTCTCTAAGCAGAGGCTTTTTCGTCTTACAGCACTTAGTCCGACTTGTAGTTTTGTAATGCTTTCAAACAAAGACCCTTTTTTTTGTACTGATGCAATTGTTATTCTTGTTGATTTTGTTAAGAAATTGACACTGAAAACCTTTAACCTACTTTCTTTCCTGATACTCGATGCAGACTGATTTCTTTGGGAATTTGATGAATATATTTCAAGCCTGCGAGTGTGCGAAAAATGTTGGTGGTCTTCACATGATGTTCAATATTGTCAGATGCATCAGTTAGTATTCACATACATCTCAACATCATTTTCTTTCTTACTCCTAAATTTGATGTAATAAGCAGCATTTCTTGTTTCTATTCTTATGCAGTCTCGCTCAACAGTTCTCAGATCCTGGAGAAAATCACAGGGGAAGAACTGATCATGAACATTATCGGGTGCCTTGAGTGTAAGCTTAATGCCTCTAGTCGAACTTTTATGATCCAGTAGAATGTAGCTGTTGAGTATTTATAGCATAGACCATTTAAGAAACATATTAGATGCTATTACTGTATTGTAGGTTTTAAGACCTGACAGCGTTCAATTTTATGTCATGTTGAATTATACTGAGACCTTCTCACCTGTGGAGAGCAAAGAATTTTACGTGCTCTTGGTTTTGTATTCTTAGATGATATGTGACAGTTTACGTGGGTGGTGTGCATTTGCGACCGCAAAGGTTATAGGCCAATGTATGCATTTCTTTCTTGCGCAGTTCCTAAACTTGTAAACATAAATATTGCTGTGTGTTTTGTTTGCTCACAGATGATCCCGATGTTCATCAGCCTCAACATCACCGGAAGCATCTGAGAGAGCATGTCGTTTTTAAGGAGGTAATACAATATTATCGTTTGTTCATGATTCCATGTGGTTCTGGACCATTTAGCATAGGGAACATAATAGAGGACACATTATATTTTTGGATAAAGTTTGAGACTTGAAAACATCGTTATTAAACCCCATTATTGTTTGCAGGCTATACCAATTAAAAATCCCCTGGTCCTGTCGAAGATACACCAAATATACAGAATTGCTTATCTGAAGGTTTGGTCCCATGAACTCTTCCGAAAACATTTTATTCTACAGAAACAGGTCTCACATTTCTCTCATTTCGTGCAGGATGTTGTTTTGAATAGAGGACTAGATGAGGCTACAGCTGCAAATCTACAATTAGTGATCAATGCAACCAAAGCTAGTGTAAGTCATCCAAATAAGCATTATCAAATTTAACGACAATGACTGCAAAATGCATGCACCACATGACTATCTTCTACAGGTTGTTACACTTCTGAAGGATGACAGCACCTTTTTCCAAGAGTTATTTGCAAGGTTACGGTCACCATCTACATCTACGGAATCCAGGAGTAATTTGGTATTTCCTGGCATTATGAGGCATTCGTCATTTTCTGAAGTTTATAATTTTTGTATTTCATGAAGAAGAGTTTCTCGGCAAAAACATCATTGCTGGTAATGATTCTAGGCAAGTTCTTGTCATTGAGGCATTAGCCGTACCCAACATTCGTTAAAGGAAATTCAGCTTAACTGTGAGCTTTTTTGGGAAAGCAATGATATTTTTGCCGAGAAATTAGAACCGTTCTTGTCGATAGTCTCTTCACTAAAACCATATTGTTTCCTAGGTGAGTTAGACTGATGTGCTTTATCCTCCAAAAATTAGGTACATTTCTTGCACGAGTTTTGTAATCTAAGCAAGAGCCTCCAGATGGTGCCGCAGCTACAGCTCTTTAGGTATGTACTTTTTCAGATACTAAATATATTGGTATTAAGAATGAGTCTTCTGAAATGGATCATTTGTGTATTGCATTATCATTCCTGGATTATAACTTCAGTGCTTTTAAGAATGTCGTCAGTTTTCTGTATCTTACGTGGGGTTCTTGACTTTTTAATAATCTTGAAGGGAACTTATGAATGAAGGAATTTTTGACATCATAGCCGAAGTCTTGCAAAGTCCAGATAAGAAACTCGTATTAACCGGGTATATTATTACCTTAAGCTAATTATACATGATAGATTGGTTGTAATTCTTTTGTTATCATAACTTCCAACTCAAGATAATTTTTCTATAATGGATGCAGGACAGATATCCTTCTTATTTTCTTGACTCTTGATCCTAACCTCTTACGCTCTTATGTTGTTCAACCGGAAAGTCCCCTCCTTGGTCTCTTGGTAAACTTTCTTTAGTTTCTTGTTTTCTTTTGGATTGATTTTGCATTCAGCTGCGAGGTTGATCCCTGTTTCTTTAGTAATAATTGGTTCTCATTATTAGGTTAAGGGAATGATGGGAGATTTTGGTGATGAGCACTGCCAATTTCTAGAAATTTTTCGAATTTTACTGGATTCAAATGCATTATCTAGTGGAGCTCAGGTGGTATTCTCCTCTTTGTCCCCTTTCATTATCCTGTTTCTCTGATAATCAGAAGGAGATGGTATTCTCCTCTTTTAATGTGTACCGTTGTACGAAGAAGTCATAGTCAAGAAAACGTATACTGCATTTCTGCTCTGATTTGTTAAAGTTGCATGTAAAACTGTTTTCCCGAAGTCCACACGGAGTTATTTAACAGAATATTTTGACAATTTTTTCATGTTTGCAGGGAGCGAATGTTATGGATATTTTCTTTGAGAAGCATCTACCTGAGTTAGTTGATTTCATAACTGCCTCGTGTCCTGAAAGGCCTGGCGATACATCTGAAACTGCATCCAGAAGAGTTGGCAGCCATTGTGGGACAAAGCCCAAAGTCCTATTGGACATTTGTGAATTGCTGTGCATTTGCGTTCAGCAGGATTCATCAAGGACAATGTAAACTTTTATGATGATTACCACATTATTTTTCTGTTTAACCTTATACTATAGTAGCCATTTTATATGCTTGTCATTTTCTTCTCTTGTCTGCAGTTTTCTCCTGAAAAACGTGACAGAGCAGGTTTTGTTTCTCACACGAAGAAAGGAAAAAACCGTAGTGGCTGCGGCTATTCGATTTTTCCGCATTCTCCTCTCTGTCCATGTAAGTAGGTCTTCGGTCAGAGTTTTTTTTTCTTTTTCTTATACTCATATGCGCATTCTCCTCTTGAGATCTGACAAGACGAAAATTGGTTATCTGGATTAGTTGAAAATTGAGGCTCAGAGTTTTTTATAAACATGTCATTAGTCATTACATTTAGTTACTTTGGTAAGTTGTAGTTTAGTGTCACATGTCATATTATTATAGAAAAGTGGTTTTTCACTTGCGCTAAAATAGATTTTATAATGGCTACAAAAGCCTTTTCAATTGGGGAAGCGATGCAATTTCTAAAAAATATTGTTTTACTTCAGGATGATAATGTGCAGAGTTACGTTGTTGAGAACAACATGCTGAAACCTATTATAGATGTTCTTGTTTCCGGTGGTGATCGAGACAATCTGCTGATTTCTGCTGTCTTGGAGCTTCTTGAGCACATACGCAAGGTTCGTATTTTTCATCCTTTTCTACATTTTTCATGTTAGGGGTGTTCCTCTGTACATATTACCGTTTTGTGTGCAGGGGAATAAAAATGCGTTGCTCAAATACGTAGTTGATACCTTTTGGGACCAGTTGGCTCCGTTTGAGCACCTGCTCGCTTTAAAAACGAAATATGAGCAGGTAACATTCTTCGATCTAACTTCTACTTTGGAATTTTTTTCCTACATTATTCTTTCTTTAACAAACGTGTCTTCAGTGCTTAAAAAGTTGGGGACCAAAGAGCACCACTGATCCAGTTGATATGAAAGGAAGTGAGCGTGCTCTAGATGAAGAGGAGGATAGTGACGTCAAAGGAAACAGGTGCATACCTTAGGGTGTTTTTATCATCAATGGACGTTTTTTACCCCTCTCTTGACCTTTTCTCATCACGTTCTATACTGACAGCGGTGAAGAGAAGACAGCTTCTGCTTCTGATACACAGAAAGAAGAAGCTAAGCCCCATAATTCCAATGTAGCAGCTGCAAGTTCGTCTTCTCCGAGGTACTTCTTTCTAGCCTCTCGTGATGAAATTCTATGAAAAGTGTAGTATCATAAGCAACAACTAGTGTTAATGGATTTCCTTTCTGCTTGCGAATAACCATACAGCTTGAGGTCTGGGGGTTTGGTTGATTATGAGGGGGATGACGCAGACGTTGAAGACTGCGAATCTCCTCCCGAGAAACGGCAAGAAGCCTCAGAGGAGAAGCTGGAAAACGAATCCCCTTGCGGAGAAAACGAGCAAGAGCCGTGTAAGAAGAAACCGAGGCTGTGTTCAACACATCAAGGAAACAAGAACGCCCCTGAGGAAGGTGGCGAAGCAAAGGAAGCTGACATCTACAGAAGCAGTGACGATGAAGAAAAGGACAGTGAACTTGGAACAGCAGACGATGAGAAGCTGGAAGGAGGAGGTGCGTTGACAGCTTCAGGATCAGAAATGGATGTAAATGAAGGTTCCTGAGATTTTAACATTCTCTAGTACTACATAGGATTTTGGTATATCTCTGTGTTTTTGTAGCTTTGGGCTCACATGAAAAGCAGTCCAAACAAATTAGAAAGTAGGTGAGGAGGAGCAAGAAGATATATGACAAACTGTATAGCCCACAAATTCTCGATGCTCTGTGTGTTTAATGAGTAATCTGAAATTGCATTTTGTAAAAACGCAATCCATCATCGAATTTTTTTTTTTCCCTTGAATCTTCTTAGTTAAAACTAATGAATGTTTCAGAATTTTATAAAAAAACAAATTCAACCAAAATGGACTAGTATTCTGCTTAAATATACATATACTTATAAACAAAAAATAAGAAAAATGCCAAAGAAAGAAAAAAAGGAAAATAAGAGTTTTTTAGCTTTCATGTTGGGTTAAAGAGAGAGAGAGAGAGAGAGGAGAGGCTTCAGAAAACAATAGTCTGCTTGTTCTCACTTTGCGTTGCGCCGCCTTCTCACTTCCGTTGTCTCTCGTCTCTCTAATTTGCTCATCCTCTCCAAGCAAGCTGCTTCGAGCTTCCTCTCGGTGCTCTCTTTTCCTATTGTAAGTTTTCTTTTTTTTCAAAGGGTTTGTGTAGATCTTGGAATTAAACAAATAGATCGATAGACCTAGTTTGCTCCCGTTCAATTCTCGGAACTTCACTTAGATTTCTCGGGATATAATCGTAAAGCTTTAGAATTCAGGAAAATCGAAGCTTATTGTGATGATTAGGTAGCGGAACTCAGTTTAGCTGCATCGAGTATAAATTTCGAAGGCCTTTGCTTAGGGTTTTTAACTGCATCCTGAGATTTGTCTCGGAAAGTGTTGGAATTTTCCCTTCTTTAAACTTTCGATCTAAATTTATGGTGTTTGCGTTGATTGCAGAGAGGAGAAAGAATCTCTGATTTGGCTCAAGAGAGATGTCTGATTCAAAGGAAGAGAAAGCACAGGTTGCAGCCGACAGGATCAAGGCTGCAGCACTCACTGCTGCCAAAGGCCTGAGCCGTACGCAAGCCGAGCGTGCAGCGGCTGCAGCAGCGAGAAACGTCAACGCTTATGGGCAAAAGGAAGAAGGTCCAAGCCGATGGCAGGAGAAAAGGGAAGCAAAGAGGCAGATGTATTTGATGAGTACAGAGAAAGCCGTCAGGCTTGGCGAGAGGAAAGACAAGTCTATCTCAACATCAGTCGTTGGAGGCGCCTCTGCGGCTTCGCAGTGCCAGAAATGTTTCCAGGCGGGTCACTGGACTTATGAGTGCAAGAACGAAAGGGTTTACATCTCTAGGCCCTCGAGAACCCAGCAGCTTAAGAACCCTAGGCTGAGAGTGAAGCCTTCTGTTGATGATCTTGATAATGATGGTGAGAAGCCAGTTGCAGGAAATGGGAAAGAAGAAGAAGGAGGCGAGAGGCGGTCCAAGAAGAGCAAGAGAAAGCACAGGTCAAAAGATGATTCTGGCAGTGACAGTGAAGCCTCTGTGTTTGAAACAGATAGCGACGGCTCTGAGTCATCTGGGGAGAGTAGTTCAGAATACAGTTCGTCGTCGGACTCGGAGGAGGAAAGGAGGAGGAGAAGGTATAAGAAGAAGAGCAAGAAGAAGCAAAAGCAGAGGAAGGAAAGGCGAAGAAGATATAGCTCTTCTTCATCTGAGTCGTCTGATTCTGAATCAGCCTCGGACTCGGATTCTGATGATGACAGAAGCAGTAGGAAGAAGAAGAGCAAGAGGCACAGCAACAAACGTCGTTGAATTGGTTTTAGTAAAAGGGAAAAAAAAATCGCAAGTGGATGGATTTTTTGTATGCCTTTTTTTCTTTAGAGAGAATCAATCTTGAGCTACATGAAGAAACTCACACTACTTTTTTTATTTCTTCTCAAAGTTCCAACTTTTATCTTGCCTTAATATGTGTTGTAACAAACTGATAGATCTGAGAATCCCCGTTAGTTTTCAGAGCTTAATAGCTCTTGCAGAAAGTTGTAAACACAAAAAGAATATTTCAGAAGTAATACAATCCACCTTTACAAGATTTATACATATCATGTAAAGCCCAGAAATATGAGTAATAAAGTCACGAGCTTGATTTGTAAATATCCATAAATGATGCATCTTTACATAACACACACTACGTTTGCTCCACTAGTACAAAGTCCAAGCTCTCTCTCCACCAGTCTCCTTCCTCAAAAAACTTACCTTTCTCTCTCTCTCTCTCTCTCTCTCTCTCTCTCTCTCTCTCTCTCTCTCTCTCTCTCTCTCTCTCTCGAAACTAGGCTGCTTCTGTTTCCAAATTTGTTGTTGAGTTTTTCACTTTTGATGATCTTTGTGTTTATACACTACAAAGCTCAAATTGCACTTAAGTTGTTCGATCATATGTCTAGCTGAGACTCGAGCCGGAATTGCTTATAACCGGTTTGTTTCTCACTCTTTGTTTCTCACTCTGTTGCTAAAAAGTCTTGACTTTTTCATCCACTTCTGTTCCCTAACCAGATAGCATTTCTCTATCGGAACATAAAAATTTAATCGCATCCATTGAGTTGAGAATTAGTAGATTGTATAGACATATTCTCTGAAAAGTGAAACCTTGAGCTTAGGTAGATTAAGGTTTCGGTTTTGTTCCAACACTAATCTTTCTGTTAGAGGGATTGACTTAAAAGTGTTCTTTCATTTTCTAGCTGCTGAGAAAACAAGTGAAGATATCCCGAGTATGTTGCGGAACGTGATGCCTTGGAACAGAAGCGAGAACAGTGTAGTTGGATTGTTTATTAGGCATTTTGCAACGAAACCGAAACCCAAGATGAAACCTATCGAGCTGAACACTCCACCAGAGCAAACCCAGACGATAACCCGAGTGATCTTTGATATTTTGAAGGAACATGGACCTCTCACCATTGCTGAAACTTGGGATCGTGTCAAGGTACTCTTTGTCGTTTCCTTTTTTTTAGAATGAATGTTTCTCAAATCTGTAGAGTGACTGGATAACTCAAAAAACGAGATGCTTTCACTTTCTTTGTTAGAGGTTTGGGATTGAAATTTTGATAACTATAACGAATGTTTAATCAGCCAAAGAGAAATAGTGTGAAGGTTCATAGGTTATATATCTCAAAACCAATTGATGATGTGTGGAGTAACCAATAACTATTTAAACCTTATTTTGTCAAGAACTCGAGTAGTTGTTGGCTTAGCTTTCAAATAAAGTATGCAAGTAACACCATTGATATTCAACACTATGTGTAGTTTAATTGGTATTAAAAAAAAATTGAGCAGGAAGTGGGATTAAGAGGGCTATCGAGCAAGCGTCATATGAAGATAATACTGAGGTGGATGAGAGAGAGACAGAAGCTGAAGCTCATATGTAACCATGTTGGTCCTCACAAGCAGTTTTTGTACACTACTTGGTTCACTAAACACAACCCTCCTAAATTCCATAAGTTGCCGGAAAATCACACCGGGAAATCTTCCGGCTACCCTAAAATTCCATGAGCCGACACTGTTTTTATAAAGCCTTTGTTTGCTTGAATCTTCGTTTTTACTGTAACGTAATTATAATGACTTTCTTGACAAGTTTCTCTCGATGTTTACGCTTCTAAACACTTTTCACTTTCTTACATTCAATTGTGACTCATTGATCACTTCTCTCTCTTATAATGAGAATTGAGAAAGGCAAGCAAATAAGAAGTTACACCAAATTCATGTATATATAAAAAAACACAGTTCAATAATTTCTTAATTATTTGAAGAATGTGGCGGATTAAAAGATTTGACATTTATGCCAACATTCTTCTTTGATCGGTGAGCAAAACTTCTTTTTTCCAACACAGCAATAACAATCGGGTGAAAAGCCAATATGGTAATGTAATCCAACGCACGGTGGTAGAAATATCTTATTCCGCTCAAAACCATCCACGTGTTCATCTAAAAAACAGTAAATTTATACTACTCAGAATAGTTATGAATGATATGATGTTGATTACAATAGTGATCATCATCATTGTCATGTCATGACGATAGTGAGGATAAACAAAAGAAACAAAATATATATATATATACTTACATTGTTGCAGACCAAGAATGGGAGACCAAAATGATACTACAGAGGATTGCAAAACGTGTTGATGACATGTGTGATTCTTTTCTCAAACAATTTTTTTCGTTTGATTGTCAGAACCCAAAATCCCTATATATGTATCTCATGTATGTATGTTAATGTAAAGGTAGACACAAATAATCTCTGGTATAATAGTTACACTAAACTTGCAGAATTGATTATATATATTGGCTCGTATGGTAATTACCACATTAATATTATTTTCATATAGTTGTATATTTTTATTTCATGCTTATTCAGTTATTCCATACTAAAAGCATGATCTCTACTAAAACAAATTTATGGGGTAAATGTCATTAATATCAATTAACATAATTTAAAAATGCCAAAACGGTTAGTGGTGATTGTTTTTACCAGCAAAATATTACATAATTTGTTTTAATAACCATTTTCTTTTTCTTACCCATCATCTATCACATCAATAGACAAAATTAATATAATCCATTTGCATGTCGTGTGCAAACCTTTTTATCTTTTTGTAACAAAATCATTCTGATACTGGGTTGGATCAGTCAACGGAAGATGGTTCTCTGTTTTCCAAAGCATTAAATGTTTTTGACATCTCCAGTATCTCTTTACTTACAATGAAAAAGATTCTCTCCAACTAACCCTAAACCTAAAAATTTCTCTGACTAAAAAGAACTCCTATAAATCTCTTCATTCATTAGAACCAGAGTTTTTTTATAAAAAAATTGCAGAAACCCTAACTAAATCATTTGGGAACATAAGAAAGAAAAAGAATAAATCATTGTTATCTACATATGCACTAGCCGCACTACGACTACGAGTCTATCAGTGAAGAAATGCTACAAAGAAGGTAGCGTGCGGTCGAACCAGTTAGAGAGATGTGAGATTTTGGCCGCTACGCTTTTATTTCGACCAAAGAACGTTTCTGCATTGGACAACATAACCGCTACGTCGTGTCTTAATGCTTCCACACTCCGGTAATAGTTGTTCTCAAGCCTTGATCTGATTACTTCAAGAGACAGAGGAACTGGGAACCTGCAGATGAATCCATAGAACAAAACCATGTCAGCTTCATCTCCATCAAAATCCTCTTCCAGTCTTGAAGAATTTTACCTGTTGGTGTAGCTGGAGTTTCCCACGGTCTGGTTCAGTTTTTGGAGGCCATACGCATCCTGAAACGAAGTAGTAGAGATTATTGTTATGTTCTTGGGATCGTGTTGTGTCTTTGTCTCCTCCTAATCCACTTTAGCTCTAGAGTGGACTAACTAATGTAAACATGGGCTACGATAGTCTGAATTAACACCTTGAGATATATTAAATTTGACTAGAATCACAAACCTTGGTTCTTCTATCTGAAGTCTCTAGCTTTGTCAAGGCCAAGAGCAGACGGTTTCGTTTCTCATCATCAATGTGAGGCTGCTCCCACTTGGTATCAGCATCAAAAAGCTCCCAGGGACTGTGAAGATGTGTCTCGGCCGGGTCACTCTTGTATTTAACTGTGTACCTCTCCCACGGACTATCAGGAAAATCAGGTGATTTGGGTTTCACAGCTAGAATCCGTCCTTCCCACCAACTACCATCTTCTTCGCCTTCGTCTCTCCACCAAACTTTACACTTGTCCCTGCAACTCCAGTTCCTCTGTATCGCTGCTTCATACCGACTTCTTTCCACAAGAAAATCTGGAAAGGCCACCACTTCAGGCAACGTAAGTTTGAAACTTTTGCTGAAGACTTCCGAGTTCGGATCGATGACTTTAAGTATCATTTTGCAGCAGCTATCTCCAGAACCAGGAAGTGTTGCATATTCAAGACTTTCCACTTTACAAATTTCCACCGCCTTTATATTTCCTCCTTTTATTGAAGTCCAAGGAGCCACTTCCCTCAGGGTGCTGAAGTTTAAGTATTCTTGATGCCCCTGGAAGATACGAGTGACAGTTACATGTAAAAACTGATACCACATGTTGAATAAACGAGACAAACGATAAGATCACCACAGACACTTACCTGTCGCAAATATGCAACTTCATCCCCCTTTTGTGGAATATAACGAGAGCCCTCTTCATGTGTCGATAATGTCAACCAGGATACCTTTTCTATCAGCTGCAGAGGCTTCTTTGTTTCAACAGGTCTAATTTCACTAAAAGGATAAGTAGACCTTCTATTTCTTGTGGATCTCAACCGAAGAGTTGCCCCAGAAGTCGATTCTTCTTGAGAGTTTTGGTTTCCACGTGAATCACTTAGTTTATCACGGATGTGTGTCAAACTGCCTTCTGGACTCTTCAATCCTTTCGACTGGGTTCCATGGAACCCATTTGGGGCACCTTCATGGGAATTAGCGCCACTACTCTGATCCAGGCTACAAGAACCTGGACTGTTTTCTTGAGTACGAGTGGCATCCCCGTCTGAATTATTCTTATGCTTTCGTGACTTCAATCGCCTGTAGACATAATCAAACATCCGTTTAGGATGTGACACATGGACATCATTAGCAATTGAGACAGGATCACCGATCTCACGATTTGATTCATGCTCACAATCATTTCTCAGAGATGGCTCTGTTCCAACCTCACCATCCTTTTGACTGTCCAATACCACATCACATCTAGTGTCTGCAGAACCATCATTTAATGCATCAGAGACACCACTTTCCTGGATTATTGATGAAGATTTTACTTCTTGCGTCAAAGATGTATCAGGAGCCCTTGAAACCCTCTTGGATCGTATCTTCAACGTCCTAGAGATAGGTGGAAGGCTATCTTTTAGATCATGCAGGCGACCGGTTATATCCTGAGAACAGTTAGAGGCACCGTCATCAGCGACTCGACTTGGCCACTCATCCACTCCTAGATTTCGTTCCTCAACATTTCGCAAACCATTAGAAATCACCGTGTCAGTGTCAACTGCCATGTCATCTACATCTGCTCTTAGTTCCAAACAACTTGGTGCACTAACACCATTATCATGATGACTTGCCTCTTCTCTAACATTAGTTTCATTTCCCTCTGGCTCAGAGCCCATAAGTCCATGCGATGACATTGCTTCACCTCTCATTCGCTTTGGCGTACGAGCCTTAACCATTCCCCATTTGACTTTACTTGCATCTAACCATTTAAACTGATTTGTGTCAATTTCAAGGTTCCCAGGAACCCTTGAGTCTTCAGCACAGCCATTCCCTAAAGTTGGAACAGTAGAAGATGATCCAGGTAGGTTTTCCAGCAAGGTAAGCCTATCTGAATTGCCAACGGGAAACCTAACAACCAATCTCCTCCTTTCAGCAGGATGCGTTTCTCTAATATCACATTGTTGAGCCCCATCGTCTGAATCACATACGAGAATATTTTTCCCCTTAGATTGCTTACCATGCCCATTTAACAAAGCTACATCGAGTTCACTTTCCCCAGTGCCTGAGTCCTGTGTTGTCGATTCACTTTCTGATGACCCACTCAATTCAGAGACGTCTTCTTCTTCTGCGTCTTTAGATGAACCTGTAATCTTAGAAAACCAAGACAGGGCATTTCGTGCAGCCGCTCGCCTAGGTCTGGACGATTTAGATTTTGAAGATTTCCTCTTCGATTCTTTACGACCACTCCTAGATTTCCTGATACGTTTGTTCTTGCTTGGAGCTCCATCAAGCTCATCAAAATTTCTCTTTTTGACACGCCTACCTGAAGAAGTCATGATCCCAGCCTGGTAGAGAGGAAAAAAGGGATAAGTATCATATTTATGCACAAGATCAAAGTAATACTACGAAATACTCACTTCTGTCTTATGCTTTTTCCTTTTGGATCTTCTAAGGCTATTATGATCACCATCTTCATCGCTTTCACTGGAACTGGAACCTGACTCACCAGATGTTGAAGAATTTAAGCATTCTTTCTCTTTTCCAGACGAATACTCTTCTGGCACATTGTATTCGGAATCATTTTCATCACTTAAGATATCAATTTCTGGTTCCCACTCTATTACATCTACAAATTCTGGTAACGGTTCAGCTAAGTCTAGGTCTGCCAGAGGTGGCATCTGGTAATCTTGATCTAAAGTGATATCTGGCCCTACGGCAAGCTTTAAAGCAGATGGTCGCCATTCTTTGCCTAAGGCGCCAAGACGCCGTTTCTGAAACATGGTTTGATATGGCTCTTCATATGGAATCATCGCTAAAATGCAGAAGAATAAAGAGTGAATGATATGCCCATCCGAAGTGGAAGATCCACAAAGCATTTGTAACCAAAGTTAAAGAAATTAAAACCTGAATCACAAAGAGGATCCTCCATATTTCGGCGATAAGGTGGAAGCTGAGATTCCTGAATCAAAGTTTCCAAATGCCTATTAGTGATTACACTATATCTATAGCGAACAGAACTACAGATATAAAAGAATGATTTATTTAATTATAAGTAGAATCACTAGAAGGGTTAAAAAGATCAGCTATTTACCTGGTCGAGGACATTGCCATGTATGTCCTGAATTAATGGCCGATAATCCCCCAGGAAGAACTGCAAGATGCACAGAGCAATTATAAAGAAATTCCATTTTCACCTAAGATACAGATAAACGCCAACTAGCTTGGAGGACGTGGCGTAGAGCAGCTAGAATTAAGATATTTCTATAGTATTTAGTAGGAATTTATGGATATTAACTATTAAGAGATGTTTTTTTATATTTTATCTAGGCTTTTCTTAGACCTTTAACTTTTAATAACGGATAATTGAAAATGTTTTGATCGAAAAGGAGATTTATGTTCTCTCAGAGTAACAGAACTAGGAAAAATGTTGGTCTCTCAAAAGCACCGGCAAACTTATCCTATATATAACCCCATCTAAGGTTTCTATCAGAAATGTAGTCAGTAGAAGTACAGTATTGAAGCTTCCTCCGCAATTGAAGTTATATTGGTACCTGATCATATTTAGCGTCCTTTTGAGAATCCCCTTGGCCTGTGCTTAACACATACAGTTGGCCCACATCATCTGAAAGTATAATTGACGTTCCATCCCTACATTATGAAGATACAGATTAGCAATCAAATGGAGTAGGAGTATAACGAGTGCAGAACATAACTATTTGCTTACGGTGAAAACTTCCCGTCAACCAACTTAAAGTGTGAAATCTCGTATATTTGGATAGGTATGCCTTCCCATATCTAGAAGAAGAGAACAAAATCTTTAGTAATATAGATATGAAGAAGAAGCGATTAGAAGGTGGAGAAAGTAAAACTTACATCCCACACTATTGTTTTTCCATCATAGCCAGCACTCATAGCTATCCGAGGATTGAAAGGATGGACGTCCATAACATAAGTCTACAAACAATAAGTATAACATGTTGATAACGGTAATACAAGGAACTAAGAGAAAATCATGCGAAGCAGACAATATAACAAGGCATAAATGCATTGTCAGCGACTTTCAATTTTATTTCTTGCTTTGAAGTACACAGGTCAAAAGTTCAGATATTCCCAAAACTGTCTTAAGATAGTCAACCAAATCCATGACAGGAAGAGAAATATACAGAAGGGATTTAGCACTTACAGATGCGGTATGGCCAGTCAAAGAATGTACCAAGCTACCATCAGAGGCATTCCACACGCATATTCTACAATCTTTAACATAGAAAGAGAATCTAGTTAGCAAGAGTGGAGCGCTATAGGCAATTGGCCTGGATAAACTCTTAGCCATCAAGAGTGTCAACAGAGTATTACCCATGATAGCCGCAAGGACAAAACGATTATCCAGACTCCAAGCAATCATGTTAACCCCACGGGGTGTAGGCAGGATCCGTTGACGTGGCCCACCTCTAGGAGGTTGAGGAGGCATGGGTGGAGGTGGAACTTTGAGATGATATGCTCGTGTCCATCGGCAGCTTTTTCCCTGAAAGACATAAATAAAGATCTGGGTTTCTGCTCCAATGAAAATGTATTCAATTAGGTGATGACGGTCGTAGTTATCTTAGCGAAATTGAATTTTACATGTGATCTCCGTGATCTTGGGATCCAAATGATTGCACTACCATCACGAGAGCATGTAACTATGTTATCATGACAGAACCTAGAAAACACATGTGTTACTGAATGTCAAACACAAAAACATAGGAATAGGTAAAAATTAACAGTAATTGCAAGATTGTCTACTTGCACCAGTGAACACACACCAGGAATTCTTAAATTTTGGAACATTCTCGTCTTTCGAGTAGTCAGTTACGGCAAATTTAGATCCTGCAGCACAACCACTGGAAAGCACCACAGCAAATGACTAGGATAAGACAATTAGGATCTCATAAGAAATGTTATTTCAAAAGTGATTCGCTTACCTGAATTGAACATAATTAACATCATTCTCATGTCCAGCCAGAACATCAAGTTCATGGTTTGGCTGGTCTGTCTCATCATTGTTGGTTCTATTAGCACTCCAAACCTGTGACCAAGGAAACATCTTTTGTAATTAAGTGAACCCTATAAAATTTGGCAGAAAATAAATGTGGATTGTCCATTTTTTACTCAAACCAAGATACAGTCAGGAAACATTTATCAGTACCGAGTATACTCTAGCAAGAGTGTCAGAGCTGCCAGTGACAAAGACAGTTCCATTAGCATTGAATGCGCAACAAAAGATTTGGTGACTCTGCTGAGCATTACTAGAAGACGGGCCACTGTTCTTTCCTGGAATATGATTCCATAGTCAGTCCTACAGCTTAGAGTAGATTAAAGAACAAATCAATAAAGTAGGAACGTGGAGTAATCACCATCAGGACTAGGAGGCCTAGGGACATATATCCGCGGAGCAAATTGGGCACCTCGAGCATCCCATATCCTACATGTACCATCATCTGACGAGCTGCAGAGAGTTAACAAAGAGCTCAAGCAGCTTGTAAAGATGCCAGATAGAAAGGAAAAAAAACACTTTTTTTTCAGAAACGCAAATAGAATTTCAAGACAGCATAATAACTCAACATCATAAATTCCAACTGAAGGAGAGAATGAATTGGAGTACATTTTAACTTTCCAGCTTTGTGACCAAAAAGTTAATAAATTCAAAATTTCAAAGCCATAGAAATAGACACTATAGTGAAAATCCACGAAATGAATAGCATGGTGTCAGCCAAATGATAACAACTGACGAAACATAATGATTTCTCAATTATTCTTCAAACAAAAAAAAAATAATAATAACGTCCCAGATAGCGTATATGATGCCAAAAAGAACAATTTGAGAAAAAATCTTACGAAAGAAGCTGGTACGGGGATCCGGGTCTGGGACTAAATGCAATAGCAGTAACAGCTCCGGTATGTCCACGGAGTATCGAAACTGGTAAGCCATCTGGCAATCGCCACTACAAAAATCCAGATGGATGAACTCATCAAGGAGGCTAATGTAAGGAAGCCATAATGGAAACATATACAGAAGACGATACAAGAAACTTACAACGCGGATCACACAATCATTTGATGCGGATGCTATGAAAGTGTTGTTCGAACTCACAGCAAGATCAGTTATGTCACCCTTACATATGCACAAAAACACAAATTTTAAGCACCACTTAAGAATACAGTAACAAGATTATGGCATTCTCATAGAGTACTTGGAACTCACTTCATGCCCTCGACAGCTCGCCAGGCAGTATGCAGTTTCCATTGACCATACTTTTACAAGGCGATCATCTGAACCAGTGATTACATACCTTCCAGAGCGATCAAATATAGCTGCAGCATATTCACATAGGTTCAGGTATCCAGTTCACCCAAATGATTACTAAATTATTTAACGAAACATGATTTTAATATTCATCCCTAAACAATTAAATAACTTACCACAGTACACAGCATTTCTGTGTCCACGTAGCCTCTTGATGTTCTGCATCTTTTGTACCATTGAAGATGGTTTTGCAATGACATAACATGCTGCACGAATTGATGGGGCACGATGATGTCTGGCAAAACCACCACCAATTTCTCTCAGACTTAAACCACGCACCTGATCAGCATGCATATGAGGCCAACGCATGCCAATAGGTGGGGGTTTGAGATCACTTCCAACTATGTCCTTGTCATCTGCAAAACAAAACGATGTAGCTTTAACGAAACACACTTTTTAAAGAGTACTTAATATATGCAAAAGAAAGTCCTAAAGAGGTTTAAGAGAAATTGATTCGTTATAGTTTGTGTTTACATATGTATGCAAGTATGTGTGTGTGTGCTTGTGGATGTGACAGTTTGTGTCTATATTGAGCACAAACGACAACACTACACTCGCCAATAAGAAAAACAAATTTTAAAAATCACCTACAGCTCAAAAGGGAGAACGATCCAGTCCCTAGAAGTGTTGGGACACCAGCTGCAATCATTTTGTTTCCATCACCAAGCCCTCGTGAGGGAGTAGGCCTACTTGAGATAACAACCAATTGCTTTAGAAGCTCCACCAAGTGATCTTTGTTTACGTGAGAATACCTGATAGTGCACATACAATGCCATGAAACACGTAAAAATAGTGGTGGGAAAAAACCCTTAACAGCCACTAATAGATAAGAAAATAAAACGACAGCATAATATGGGAGAAATGAATGACTGATGATTATCTTCATCACATAAATATTCATATAAAGTTCCCATAAATACTACAATTAGTGAGAGAAAATCTACTAGTTACCTCTTAGCCAACTCAGTATAGTTTGAAGGAAAAGAATTGCCATCATCATTCTCGTCCCCACTAGGCAATCCACTCCTCGAGTACCAAGCATGATATCTTCTAGGAAGAAGCTCATGCTCAAGAAGTTCATGTCGCAGCAGTGCAAAAGTTCTCTGGCATGGCCCAGAGGAAAGTAAGTGGAGCATCAAAAAGTAAACTTCCCGCAGGTCCAAATCGACGTTAGGCACAACATTTTGAGTAATATCTGGGTCTGCAATCTGCTCAATCCCTGGCAATTTTCTGGAAAAATTCAAAGGCTTCATCGGGAGAGAAACTGAATCGGCTTTTGGAGTATTTTTCCTAAGAGCCATTAGACCCTGTCATTTCCAGAATTAACATTAATTCACAAAAAATTAACATCTACAAATTCTTATATTTCAACCAATAAGAAAAGTAAAAAAATGATCAGTTCTACTTTTTGGAAAATTACAATTGAAATCTAAAGGTATTGCAGTTGCAGATAAGGTCGAAACCTATGCATCTCTAAACTTTGAGCGTACTTAAACACGCCTAACCAAGTAATTCCTAACTAATTCGTCGCAGCAAACTATTTACAACAGTACATGATAATGAAAAAGTTATGAATAACTTGCGTAATATCATCCTGGTACTAACTCAAATCTCTCTACTCTATCCTTGTACTAATGGCGCTAATCTGTCTACTCCACCCTTGTAATAATGTTTAAAATACAGTCTCTGTCGATTAGAAGTATCCAAGATCAAGAACTCAAATAGTCTTCTAACATATCTTAATTTAAGTATTTAAGGTTCCAATTCCATAAGAAGTCCTAAGAACGAATTAAATACCCTTTCCCCACAACACACACACTATAATATGCATACCAAAGCTATTCATGAACAACGGGAGAAGAACTAGGCAAGTTATTTATTCACCAAATCTACATCAAAACAAATGCAAGTTCACTTTCAAATGAATAAGAGAGCTTAGGAAGTGAACCTCCGTGATGCAGCGTGAGCCAAGGAGAACGACGATCACAGAGCAAACGGAACAATCTTCGACAGAGACGAAAGAGCTCCAAACCCATAACACATTGCCTCTGCAAAGCCGAAAAACAAAAACCCTAAATCTGAATTACCATATCTCCAATAACCAGATAATCCAAACGAATATTCAATCAAACATTGCAATACAACAGCACCATGATTGACCACAGCACATGCACAATGCCAAAAAAACAGTTCCTATTTAGCAACAGGCATACAAAAAAACAAAATCCCACAAGTGACGGCACAAATGATTGAAAACGAAAATTTGTCGAACCTGTTGGAGTCTTCTCTGTTCGATAGAAAGCGGAGGTTAGAGATTCGGTGAAACCTTCAGCTCCGTATTGGGTTTCGCAGGATGAAGAAGAGATAGTTTGATGGAGGAAGAATCCAGATGCCGAGAAAGTCAATTAGGTTTGTGGATTAGAGGAGGAAATAGGATCAAGATCAAAGACGCAGAAACTTTCAATCTTGTGAAGCTCCACTACTAATGGCTAATTCGGTTATTAGTGTTGTTGAGAAAACCAAATTTCGGCAGAAGGCGAAGGATTTTGAGGAGAAACGCACTGGATAGAAAGAGAAGGAAGAAACAGAACACAAAACGAACTGGGCCCTAAAACGCTGCGTTTTGGTGATTTTAACACAGCCTTTTAAAGGATTTAAGTGGGAGATTCCAGTCCGGTCACGTGCCATGGCCCATTAACATACAAGATTTAGTTCTTAGTTCTTTGGTACATGTTTTGTAACAAAAAGTGGCTGTAGTTTAGTGGTAAGAATTCCACGTTGTGGCCGTGGAGACCTGGGCTCGAATCCCAGCAGCCACATTTATTTTTGTCTTTTTACTTCTACAGTTATTAAGAAGAGGCTAAGGATGGGTGATTAGTCATTAGCGAACATGAAACATATAGTAAATCTTGAAGTAACCAAAATTTTTCTTTCTCTGAAGTTTTCTAATTTTCATTACAAATCTTCACATGTATCTGATCTGTATTAGCTCTCTTTATTTTCTTTTTTTTCAATATGTATCCAAATTGTCTTCTTTTTGAATTTATCATGTAATAAAGAATATAATTGTTTAAACGCCATATAGTCTTGATTAAGTGGATCAGTCTAGGATTATCATCATTTCGCCTAACTAAATTCGGGCGATATGCACAGTGACATCATATTCTCTTTTATCCATTTATGGACGCTGATGATGATGATGTAGTCTGCATCCTTAATTAATTCCCTATTATATCATTATCATGGTAAGAAATAAGAATGGCTTTGCCAAAATAATCTAAGTAGAGTTTGAGTTCGAGAGATTAAGCAATTAAGAGTCAAGACTAAAAAGCATGATTTCTTATCTTTTGGTAACATGCTTGAGAAATAACGTTAACGCGAAAATTTGCAAATAAATTGGAGGAAGTTTTTCTATTGATTCAAACAAACAATATTGTCGTACTATTGCTAAGTTTAATTACTGATTAATACTGGTCAGAGTAATTTTGTTACCTACTGATCGTTCCTCTTTTAAACCATTCACGGGATATTTGGCACATTTGCATATTTTAAAAGTTTTGTATGTTATTCTGTCCCAAGAAAGGTAAGAATTAATTTGAATTGTTATAACAAACACAGGATAATATCGAAAACAGAATGTTATACATTTTCTAAAAAAAATATGAATACGAGTTAACGAAAACTTGATAAAAAGATGCTTGTAATATAAATTAGGAATGTTATACGTAAGCGTTAAGCAACCTTCTCACTCTATTTATCAGATGACATCAATCAATGGAATAGCCGATGCCAAATTGTTTAAGAAAAATTGGATGATGAAATCATCACAAAACGAGCTAACTACTAATTGTCGGACAGTTAGTAGTGGACAAATTGGTAATATTATAAGATTTATTAATGTGCATACACAAAACTCTGACGAAGACGATAATTCTTACGAAAAAAAAGTATAAGACGAGTGGCATACTCATATATAATTTTTTACTACACGTACGAATGAGGACATGCAGAAAAAAAGATTATGCTAGCTGCAGGTTTTTGAAATAGTAAATCAACCATGAGATGGGAGAATAGTAATCAAACAAAAACTAAAAGATATGTCAAGTGTCAAAACCAAAAAAATATATATGTAAAGAGACGTGGAGGCTATAAAGAGACAGTTACAAAGTAATATACAGATTTTTTAAACTAACCGTATGATTCTGATTGGCAAACTACAAAACCGTTGAATAATGTAATCGGCATGCTTTTTACTAATCATAAATTTTACTATTCTGTTAGTGTTAAGTCATAATAATTTTTTCTCGCTTATTCCACATTTCCACTTACTATCTTACTCTTTGAATACGAATGGTAAGTGGTAGAGAAAAATGAGTGATATGAGAATGATAGAAGAATAATTTTGTTTTAATCATTCTTTTTGAAAATAGCAGAGAAACAACTTTTAAAAAATTTGTGATAAATTCAGTTTTTTCTGATGAGCGGGTCAATCTTTTCAAATATTCGGAGTCCGGAACATTTGAAAAGTTCTTGACCCAGTGAACTGTTCGGCCCGAACATAAAATTTAGGGCATCAGCATCAGAAACACATGGAAAACTCTTAAAAACATTTTTTTATTACTAAAAAAAATCGATTTTGTTAAAAAGAAAAAAACAAAATTTAACAAATCATAATTTGACATATTAGTCAGAGCTGATTCTTCTACTCCTTGCGCAGAGAGTTGCTTCTATTCTAAAATCTCTCCACATCATTAATTTTTTTTCTTTTTCTTTTTCTTTTTGCTTTAGAACCTTATAAAAAGTCACCATTACAATGCGCTTATAAACCTGAGAAAATTATAAACTATCGAAAAAAAAAAACAAGTGCATGTACATATTTACTATTAGTTGAGAGACGGTACGTTCACATCTAAGGATATTTTATTTTATATGAGAGCAGATAAGGATGCTGCATTTTCAACTATATAATAATATAATGTTTTGTATTTTCATTCGGGGAAAGTAGGGCTGGCTTACCAATACAGACCTCTTTCCTTTATATTCTTCATTTTTCCCATTTGAAAATCAGTTGGGATAAGACACGCACAAAAGAAAAAGAAAAAGAAAAAATTGGAACATTATGGCTTTTAACATGGATAATTTTCTTTATTAATAAAATTGTCAACCATGTTAAGCGTAATCTCTAAATCCACGAAGTAAAATAGTCGTCATTCCTCCACGCTTAAACTTCCAAATTATTAAGGAATCTCGTGTTCAGTTAACGATATAGCTTACGTATGGTTCTCTTTCTAAATATATTTGGTCCATTAACAATATAAAATGGTTTATGTAATTCTTTAATGTGTATTATAGAGGACTATTTCACATCAAAAACACTAAAAGTACACCATAATTCTTTAACCGTTGTGCTTTTTCGTCGAACTAATAATATTTGTGCTTAGTAGAAGAAAAAAAGCTTTGAAATGTTATTAAGAAAATTGTGGAACAATAAATCGTCAAACAAAGTTTTGCCATTTTACAACATACCCACTGACATGTACTGATCTCGTTTCAGACCTTTAAATTTCAACTGGATTCGCAGAAAAGTAGCTTAGAACAAACGTGGAATTAAATTTCGACAAGCGGTAATTGGATTATACTTTATAGTCTAGCAGAATCCAGTTGTATTGGATTTTCTAGAATTATCCTCCGACCGTGACAACTGACAACTAACTATATATATAACGAAAAATAGTCTAATTGCAAAAGCTAAAAATAGTAATAAGTGGTCTGCCCACTAAGGAACAACACCAACACATATTTAGCTGTTTTGTCCAAAAAAGTAACTGATAAAATGTTATATGTATTTGACCATATCCAATTTCATTGATATACGGTAAAAACAATTTTCTTCTCTGATTCGTCTCATTCAACGAATCTTCCCCTTTTTTCGGATAATCTTTTGTAATGTACATTTTTCAATAGAGAGCTTCGAGATTGACCATTTTTTAATATAAATATTAATCTATAAATACAGGTAACCTAAGACGAACAGCTTCTCCACTTTCCTTTTTCGATCTTATCCTTATCTTCTTCTTCCTTGTTCTATTTCCCTTCTAATCTCTCTCCAAAATCGCCCAAAGGAGGCGGATAATCATTTTCATTTTCTTGCTTAATTTCTCGAGATCTTCGTTTATCAGATTCTGGAAACTCTAGAATTGTTATTTATTAACCAAGGAGAAATGTCAATGGACGGAGTTATGAAATGACAAATCTCAACCAGTTCTCTCGATTCCTCGTTTATCATTCCGTATCCGTCGTGATTCTCCACTGGTTTTACGTCTTTTCTTGAACAATTTTTATTTTTCTTTCCTTGTAAATTTCTCGCAAGCATAAGGACAAAAAAACATGGCAAACGCAGAGAAGACAAGCTCAGGTTCCGACATAGATGAGAAGAAGAGGAAACGCAAGTTGTCAAACCGCGAATCGGCTAGGAGATCGCGTCTGAAGAAACAGAAACTAATGGAGGACACGATCAACGAGATCTCGACTCTGGAGAGACGAATCAAAGAGAACAGCGAGAGATGCAGACTCGTGAAGCAGAGGCTGGACTCGGTCGAGTCGGAAAACGCGTTTCTTAGGTCGGAGAAGACGTGGCTTTCCAGCTACGTGAGCGATCTAGAGAACATGATTTCCACGACTTCCTTAACGCTGACGCAGGGTGGCGGCGATGATAAGAACGCAAACGCGGAAATAGCGGCTGGAGATTGTAGGCGTAGACCATGGCAGTTGGGTTGTGACTCTCTTCAACCAATCGCGTCATTCAAAACCTGAAGCCTTTGTGTCTTTAGTTTGTACTTTTGGCCATTTTCTAATTTGTATCTTTCATATTGAATTTGTTTTCTCCTCACACATTCTGATATAATCGTTTTTAAAAACTTTTATCCGAAACATTTCATTTAAATTTAGATGATTTTGGGCATCATACAATGGTTTTTGCCGAATTTCTTCACATATTTGTATGCATAACGAACTAGGAGACATATTGATATTGATAAGTGATAGGGACTAGGCTTTTTAGTCTAGAATCAATTTTTTTGTAGAGATAACGTCTTCTTTAAAGTTCATAGTGAAAATATCGAACTAAATCAAAGGTGTTTCAAACCAAGATACTTGTATTCTTAGATTGTGTGTTGCGTTCAATTGTTTTTTCTTTAGATTTTCCGGAGTCTTATTATACAATCGCATTTTAAAATGGTTGAACCAAAACGTTGCTGAATCTTGAAGTCAGAAACGAATTAAACAGCACATTTTCCACCAGCAGGAAGATTCAATATGACTTAAGATGAAAAAATTCGGACGTTTTGTTTTCTTATAATGTTTAGGCAATTGTGTGCACATGGCAGTGTATGGATGCAAGATCCTCAACACTTCCCTGTATTTTTTAAAAAAAATTCCGGAAACATGAAATTTGATTTTGATTTAAAGAAAAAAAAAGAAAAGAGGAATATGCATAACACTATACAACAATCGCTTTTTAAAAAAAAGGTTGAATCAAAACGTTTGCTGAATCTTGAAGACATGTTCCACCAGCAGGAAGATAAGCCCCGGTTAATCACAAGAGCGACATCTTAACGACCATTCACGTCTTTAAGGCTTAAGCAAAAACACACTAATACAAAATTAACAAAGTTTTGTATTAACTGTTGTTACTAATCAGACATTTAACATTTTAGAGGTGAGGATAGAGAAAATCAAAATTTTGGGTAGAAGTTGTGAACTAACTACCTACCAATAGGCCACATGACCACTGGCTGAGAGAGCATTTTGTTTCCCTCCCATTTTCTATATTAATGGTGTTTCCTCTCTACCATTCCTTCCCTACTACCCACCATTTATTAGTTTCTCCGCACTGACTCGACTCGCTCGACTCGGGTCGTCACTAGGTTTGTTCTCCTTTCTCCCCCATTTATCTCTTCTTTCCACTGGGTCCAACAATTCGTTAGCTTTTTTTTAGATCCGTCTTGATTCCCGATCCGTGTTTTTGATCTCAAAAAAAAGTTTCGATATTTACGAGGAGTGTGCGTGAATTTTAAAACTTTTCTGTGTTTTTTCTTGTTACAATTCTAGATTCGATAATGTAGTAAACGAGTGTGAGATCTGTGTGTTGCTGATTACGAATTGGGGAATTCTCGAGGGTTTTTGTTCCGAGTTTTGATCAGTGTAAAGTTTTCGAATCCGATTTTTCTGGGATTTTTTCTTATTTTCTAAAACTTTGTTCGTAATTCGATTCGGGTCTACAACATTGGAAAGAGGAACAATTTTATAGTTTGGTGCATTGTTTGAATCTTTTCGTTTAAACCAAACTCTGGATCTGATCATATTGTCTTCATTGTTTTTTTTTTTGTTGTTGTTGTGATTCTCAGTTTCCCTTTTGAGATCATAAATAATGGCAACGGGACAGCTTTTCTCTCGGACCACACAAGCTTTGTTCTACAATTATAAGCAGCTTCCTGTTCAACGAATGCTCGATTTCGACTTCCTCTGTGGTAATTTAACTAAAATCGTTAAGTCTTAGTTAGGTTTTGGATCAATTTTGACCGTTGAGATTCTGAGATCAAAGATCATTTGTGCCATTTACATAGGACGTGAAACGCCTTCTGTTGCTGGAATCATAAACCCAGGCTCTGAAGGGTTTCAGAAACTCTTTTTCGGGCAAGAAGAAATCGCTATCCCTGTTCATGCTGCGTAAGTTTTAAAACTAATCATATGAAACCTTGGAGAAACTAAACTACGTCTGTGCAGATTTGAAAACTTTGTTTTTTGTTTATACAGCATTGAAGCAGCGTGTGCTGCGCATCCAACCGCAGATGTATTCATCAACTTTGCATCTTTTAGGAGGTTTGTATGATGAAGAAGAGTCTCATGTAACAAACTTAGCCTGACTCTTATGTGATAGTTTTCTGAAATTGGTTTCTCTTTCTTGTGATCTATAGTGCTGCTGCTTCGTCCATGGCTGCTTTGAAGCAGCCAACTATTAAAGTTGTGGCTATAATAGCGGAAGGTGTTCCAGAGTCAGACACCAAGCAGCTGATTGCTTATGCTCGTGCAAACAATAAGGTGTGTTGTGTGTTGATGATTAGCTTCTCTTTTTTGTTACTGTCTTATTGATCTTGTGAGAGTAATTGTGTTGTTGTAGGTTCTTATTGGACCGGCTACTGTTGGAGGTATTCAAGCTGGAGCCTTTAAGATTGGTGACACTGCAGGAACAATTGATAACATTATCCAGTGCAAGCTGTACAGACCTGGATCTGTTGGTTTTGTCTCCAAATCTGTATGTGCTGATTTTTCAGAAAGAGCTTATATAATCTGCCTTAAAGCTCATTGTGATGTATGAGAGTTTTGTTCATCACTCTTGTTTGTTTTCCTGCAGGGTGGGATGTCTAATGAAATGTACAATACTGTTGCCCGTGTGACTGATGGGATCTATGAAGGTGAGTTTTGATTTTCAATGATCTACTAATGACATTATTAAGCTGAGGATTTATTAAGCCTGTTTTTTTTATTTTCGGGGATGTTGTTATAGGCATTGCTATTGGTGGAGACGTGTTCCCAGGATCCACTTTATCTGACCACATCCTTCGGTTTAACAACATCCCACAGGTATATATATACTGATCTTCAACTGTTTAACATGTTGCTCGCTGGAACGCTCCTCTTGATATCTCTCGCTCTTTCACTTCAACTATGCCTTAAATTCAAGAGCTATGTTGCAGATAAAGATGATGGTTGTACTTGGGGAGCTTGGAGGAAGAGATGAATACTCTCTTGTTGAAGCTTTAAAACAGGGGAAAGTCAACAAACCCGTGGTTGCTTGGGTCAGTGGGACATGTGCACGGCTCTTCAAGTCTGAAGTACAGTTTGGTCACGCGGTAAGTGGCGGGAAATAACTCTTTAAGCAATGCCTTTTTTATCTGTTTCCCAAATTAAAACAGTTCTTGAACATGATTTTTTTTTCAAATAGGGTGCCAAAAGTGGTGGCGAGATGGAGTCTGCACAAGCCAAGAACCAAGCTCTCATGGATGCTGGAGCTATTGTTCCCACTTCGTTTGAAGCCCTCGAATCTGCAATCAAAGAGACGTTTGAGAAACTGGTTGAAGAAGGAAAGGTCTCTTCTATCAAGGAAGTCACTCCTCCACAAATCCCCGAGGATCTCAGTTCCGCAATTAAGAGTGGGAAAGTCCGGGCTCCTACTCACATCATCTCCACCATTTCTGATGACAGAGGTACTACTGTTATGGAAATCTAAACCATACTCTACTGAGTTGAAAACACAGAGAAATTGGGATAATGAGTTACAGAACGCTAGATTCCCATTTCCTGATGCTTGACAACAAATTTTTTCTTCACATATTAATTTTTAGGGGAGGAGCCATGCTATGCCGGTGTTCCAATGTCTTCCATCATTGAACAAGGCTATGGAGTTGGTGATGTCATTTCCCTTCTGTGGTTCAAACGCAGTCTTCCTCGTTACTGTACAAAATTCATTGAGGTCTCGGTTTCTCTCTTTGTCTTTGAGTCTCTTCTTTCTCAATAAACAATACTCTCATCTCAGTCTATCCTCCTCATGCGTACATACTATTGCGTATTGGGATTAACTCTGGTCTCTGCCATTTTTGAAAATTGAATTGAATTAGATATGCATAATGCTGTGTGCTGATCACGGTCCATGTGTCTCCGGAGCTCACAACACCATTGTAACTGCAAGAGCAGGCAAAGACCTTGTCTCAAGTCTTGTCTCAGGTCAGTGAAGATCTCTTCCACCTGCATATTGTTTTGCCCACCCAAACACATCAGTTTTCTTAACGGTGCAATGATCTCTAATACTGGTGAAACTTTTTAACAGGTTTATTGACCATTGGTCCTCGATTTGGTGGTGCCATTGATGACGCTGCTCGATACTTCAAGGACGCGTGTGACAGGGTAAAAGGCTATTTCATTTCTCCCACAACTGCAACTGCCACGAATGGCATGAACCCTTGAATCTGATCTCTAATTGGTTGCTTGTTTCAGAATCTCACACCTTATGAATTCGTTGAGGGAATGAAGAAGAAGGGAATCCGAGTCCCCGGGATTGGACACAGGTAAAAGAAGCACTTCTTGTAATAAAAAAAAAAACCCACAGGTTCTCTTGTCTGAAACCTGTTTTCTTCTACATCTTCTGCTTGGTAGGATCAAGAGCAGAGACAACAGAGACAAGAGAGTGGAGCTGCTTCAGAAATTCGCTCGGTCTAACTTCCCATCAGTGAAGTACATGGAGTACGCAGTGCAAGTGGAGAGCTACACGCTCTCAAAGGCAAACAACCTCGTACTCAATGTTGATGGAGCCATTGGATCTCTCTTCTTGGACCTTCTGGCTGGAAGTGGGATGTTCACCAAGCAAGAGATCGATGAGATTGTTCAGATCGGTTACCTCAACGGTCTCTTTGTTCTTGCTCGCTCCATCGGTTTGATCGGGCACACCTTTGATCAGAAGAGATTGAAGCAGCCACTGTACCGTCACCCATGGGAAGATGTGTTGTACACCAAGTAAACTCAGTCTCGTCCTATTTTTTTTTGTTATTATTCCAATTAATTAGCTTTTACATTCCTCTGAAAGATCGTTACTAAAAATTGCATATCTATGCTCTTCTGTTTCTTTTGTTGTGATGTTTTGCATTTTTCTAATAAACTTTCTTTGTTTATCTTCCTCTGTAGTATCTTTACATTAAGAACACTAAACAATTAAATCAATGGAGTTTGGGATTTTATTTTTCTAACGATGATGAACTTAACTAAAAACATTGTATTTATTTGGTAGCATAAAACATGTGTTATCGATGTACTTTATATCTTAGTACTAGATAAGAGCTCCTCGTGTGTATGCGAGATAAAGTTTCTAACTAAAATAATAAAAAAATGCGATCAAGCTTGATATTATGACTCATGACTTCTATAACTTAATTCATTTTATCGTTCGAATGGTTGGTGATCTACCAACTACCAATTTGTAGTCCAATATCAAGGCGAAGATATACATATCCTTACCAACTCGAGGAATCTATAACCTCTCCTCTGTTTACGGATATAGATGCATCGACGTTGTAATATTAGTATGTGGCAATACTACAGCCATCAAATGATTTATGATCTTTTGTGTTTTGGTTTTTAAATATGCCTGTCTAAACTTAAACTATATGAAGAAAAGAAAACATCCCACCTTTCTCTCTAATTAAATTAAGAATTCGGTACAAGTTTCTATTTTCAGAAACGTAATTTGTTTGGATGCTTCACTTTTTTAATTTAATTTTGTACCAACTACTTTATTATATTACATGAACTATACCACTAGTGTGTATAAGGTCCAAATAAATACTTAGATCTTTTTTATTTCCTCACCACGGAAATTATAGATTTTGATTAAGATGGGTGTGTCGAACTGTCGAATCTTCCATGTATCCGTGACTTGATATTTTTTTATAAAAAAATTGGTTATTAATGATGAATGTGTGTAGATTTTACGATGCCCCATTATTGTGAGTCTTAAAAACTTGAAACAATAATGGTCACCAGATTATCCATATTCATATAATTAAATTTAAATCCCAAAAAATAAGTGATAAGGAGGAGAAAAAAAAAAAGAGAGAGTGAGAAAGAGTTGACATTTGGAACCAATAAGGGCTCGGATGCACGCGATCTCGATATTTATTTAAATTATAGTATTAGGTGTGTTCTTTGTCTGAATTAAGCATGTTCGTTTGTAGTGATGACGACGTTAATGTGCACATCAAAGCTAAATCGTTGGAAAACATATTAGAGGAGTATTACTAAACTCCAGAAAAAATAACGTATGTGGTTACGAAATAACATGACTGGGTAAAAAAAAAACTTCACGTCGATGATGATTGTACGGCCATAATGAATCAAGTTCAACCAATGGGAGACTTTAAATTGAGCTTACCAAAAAGATAACCTTTTTTTTCTTGAAAAAATTAATGGAATGGGTTGCATGCAAAATAAATTGCGTGGGGTCTGTATTGATAAAGAGCACTTACATTTAATGATGGCTCTCCTCCTTCGTCTCAATATATTAATAACTTTTTTAGTTTTTGTGAAAACTCAAAAGAATTAATCTTCCAAAAAAAGAGAGAAAGAAATGCAGTAATATGATTGGATTTTTTATGGTAGAACTTTCATGTAACATTTTGCTTCACTTAATATTCCAACTCTTTTAGGGTTTTAGTTATTAAAAACAGAAAAAAAACAATAGAGTTGTGATAAATCTTAGGACGAATCTTGTTTTGGGTTACTAGTACTACGAACATGATAAGATCGAAACACACGGAGTTTTTTTAAATATATGTGTGTTATATCATGTTTAAAGTTTATCATCTTCTTACAAACTCTTAAAATTGTAGTAATATTTTCTCTTTATTTTATGTGGAAAATGATTATTTCAAAAAATAAGCTGCCTAACAAAATTTTAGGACAATTGAATCTGTAACCATCTTATCTGGTATTTTTTCTTTTTATGTCTTTCACTTTCTTTATTTGGTCTTTCTGAGGAAGAACCAAAAAGACCTGCTTATACCGAACAAGCAGCCAAACTTAATTAATTTGAAACTGATCCAAAAAACTACAACGCCACTAATCCAAAAGCTACCTCAATCGAATATATATTTAATCAAGTAATTATTTACTTTGTTTGTATTTAGAAATAAATCTATATATTTTACAGAATCTCCCCACTATAAGAATAAGCACTAAGTGATTAGCAAAATTTTAAACAAGTTAAGCAAGTGTTTAAATACATCTATTTTGTTCGTATATATAAACAAGTGGAAGAAAAAATTAAACAAGCAAAACAAAGAGGCGCAAAAGTAGTAAAAATCGAAAATTAGAAGAAAAAAGTAAGAACAAAATAAGAAACCTAAAATCAGAAAAAAAGGAATCAAAAGAAGCAAAGATAAGCGGAGAAGGTTTCCTCCATCATTGTTGACTCCCTTTAGAACAACATACAACAATAAAAAAGCTTTCTCTCTCTCTCCTTTCTCCAGATTTCAGATTGTGTTCTTGCTAAGATTGCTAAATTCCTCTTCTCTGCTCTCCGTTTCCAGCTTTCACCATTTATGCCGTGATTCAGCTTCCTGGTCTTACTCCAGTTTCGGTCCCCAATTCAAATCACTTACCTTCCGATTTCGATCTCCGTTCCAGAGCGTTACTGTTGTTTCTGTGTACTGTTTTGACTGCGTTTGCGGGTTTTCTCGTTCGCAATGGAGACTCCACCGGCGGAGGAGCTGCTGAAGAAGATACGGGAGCTAGAAGAAAGCCAGGAGCATCTGAAGCGTGAGATGTCGAGGCTCAAGGTATCGGCGGAGATTAAGCAGCGTTCGCATTCGATGTCACCGCAACGGCCCGCGAGGAGAAACAGTGGTGAGGGAACTCCGATGTGGAGAAAGAGCGGCGCGGCGTCGTTCCGTCACGCTTCCCCGTTGCGGAAGGAGAGCCGTGGACATTCGAAAGCCGGAGCTGGTGGCGAAGGACAATCGGCAGGCAAGTTCACCGATAAACAGTATTTGAATATTTTGCAGTCTATGGCACAAGCTGTTCATGTCTTCGATCTAAATGGGCAAATAATGTTTTGGTGAGTAGTTTAGATTCTGTGTATCCATTTTTTTCTCTCTAAATTTTCTTCCTATAATTCGTCATCGAGGATGAGTAGTCAGATGCTAGTAGGATTGTGAATTTGATTCCTATAGTTTTGGAACCCTTTAAGGAGTTGTGATTTCGTGTGTAGAGTAGAGAACGTTGGTATGGTAGTTCTTGCTTAACTCGTTTCGTTTGTAAAATGAAACAATCTAGTGTAGTAGCTGATATGTCCCAACTGATATTCAGATTCAAAAATTCGATGGCATGGTTGGTTGTTCCAGGAACTCAATGGCGGAAAAGCTTTATGGCTTCTCAGCTGCAGAGGCACTTGGGAAGGACCCGATTGATATACTTGTAGATAAACAGGACGCTGCGGTTGCACAGAACATCACTCGGCGTTGCGGCTGCGGAGAGAGTTGGACCGGTGAGTTTCCTGTCAAGAACAAAGCAGGAGACAGGTTTTCAGTCGTGACTACCATGTCTCCCTTCTATGATGATGATGGCTCTCTTATTGGGATCATATGCATCACAAATGATTCGGCTCTTTTTCAAGACCCGAGGGTCCCTCCAGCTAAGACAAGGGGGCAGGAAGGGGAAACGAGCTTTAGCCGGGCGACTAATAGTGTTGCATCTAAGCTTGGTCTTGACTCCAAAGAGGCTGTTGTTTCGAAACTTGGCCTTGATTCTCAGCAACCGATACAAGTTGCTATAGCATCCAAGATATCTGATTTGGTTAGTTTAATTGTAGTACATACTTATCTTTTGTTTGTACTGTTGCATCGTTTGAAAATTTGAATAGTGTAGTCAAAATTGCAGGCATCCAAGGTGGGCAGCAAGGTCAGGTCGAAAATGCAAGCAGGTGATAATAACACTGCACACCTTGAGGGTGGTAGTGGGGACAGTCATCAGTCGGATCAGGGCTTCTTTGATGCTGCTTTCTCTGACCGGAGAGAGGATGCAGCTATAAGTGGTGGTACCACACCTAAGGGAGATTTTATCCAATCTCCTTTTGGTGTGTTCTTACGTAGCGATGACAAGTCTTCTTCAAAGCCTTCCAGAGATTCCATTGATGAAAATGATGGAAACTCTGTTATTCCCAAGACACTTGCCTCAAAAGCAGAAGAATGGATGGTAAAGAAAGGATTGTCATGGCCCTGGAAAGGGAATGAACAGGAAGGTTTGGAAAGAAGGCGTGCTCATTCTGTGTGGCCTTGGGTGCAGAATGAACCACAAAGAGAACAGACCCATCAAAGTAATTCCTTTCATAGTGTGAAGTCTGAAAGCCAGGCATCTGAAAGTAATAAGGCTGCCAATCACGAGGCAATGGGGTCTTGGTCTTCCTCTGTTAATGTCAACAGCACAAGCAGTGCTAGCAGCTGTGGAAGTACTAGCAGCAGTGTTATGAACAAGGTCGATATGGATAGTGACTGTTTGGACTATGAAATCTTATGGGAGGATTTGACTATTGGAGAACAAATTGGGCAAGGTGATGTACTCCTGTGCGAAAGACATATCCATCCTTCAAGACATCATAAAATTTATGTGGTTTTTTGTTACTGTTCTGCTAACATGCTCTGATAATTTCCCTCTTTATGCATACAGGTTCATGTGGAACTGTCTATCACGGTCTATGGTTTGGATCTGTATGTTCTTGCCTTGTGTTAATGTTGTAGAATATGCATTGTCGATTTTTACAAGCCTCTAGGATAAATCAGGAACGAAGAGGCACTTAGTGAGATTTACCTATGTCACTGCAGGACGTGGCTGTAAAAGTGTTCTCCAAACAAGAATATTCAGAAGAGATCATAACATCTTTTAGACAAGAGGTATAATTTTTTTTATCACTTCTCTAAGCATGTTTGGTAAAAGACAGTCGATATTTTAAATGGTTTTTAATAAGTGACACCTGCCTTCTGCCTTTCATATTCTCGTTTGAAGAAATTATTCCCTAAACTACCTTCATTTTCCTATACAAAATCTTCTTCCAAACTACATGTACTCAAAAAATGAACCATTTCAGAGATCAGCTAGCTACTACTCTATCTAAGATATGTATGTTGTACTTGTTTTGTTCTGAAGGTATCGTTGATGAAAAGACTTAGACATCCAAATGTTCTACTGTTTATGGGCGCCGTGACATCACCTCAGCGTCTCTGTATAGTGACAGAATTCCTTCCACGGTTTGATCTCATCTCATTGGCTAATACTACACTTCGTTTTGTGCTTTTTGAACTCCGGAACTAAAACTCTGACTCACAGTCTGAATCTATCAAAATAACATATGCAGTGGAAGTCTCTTTCGTTTGCTGCAGAGGAACACGTCAAAACTGGATTGGAGGCGACGTATCCATATGGCATCAGACATTGTGAGTACTAGTTAAACCCGTGATTTGCCAGTTGTTGATCATTGATAATTGTATGTACACAGTTTTGTTAAGTATAAGCTGCTCTATTCTGGTTCTTCACGGCTATCATTTTTCCACTCTTTGATTCAGTCACCATACATCTCATCCAACATGTTACATACTCTTTCCCACAGGCTCGTGGCATGAATTATCTTCACCACTGTAGTCCACCCATCATTCATCGCGATCTAAAGTCGTCAAATCTATTGGTCGATCGAAACTGGACAGTAAAGGTATTGTTTCCATTGTTAAACTCATATAGTTTCCCTTAATTCTGCCAAATAATAAATATCAACCATGCTTTGGTAATTTCGATGGAGCCAAAAAGAGAGAATTTTATACCTACAAATTGCTGTCTATTTTCATCTGGTTTCAGAAGTATGCATGTCTCCAACGGAAATTCGATTTACTTCATTTTATTTGTGACACGCTGAGAAGTGAGAATATTAGCCTAGGTACAAAAAGACTGTTAATAGTAGTAATTCCCTTGTATCAAAACTGGGAAGTTGTATGAGAACATCATTTGATTGATAATGTTCGACTCGTTGGAGTTTGATGCAAAATGTAAAAACCAGATAAAGAATTAAAGATATTTTAAACGAAAAGATGATGATAAATCTCTTGTGAATGTACCAGAAAATATAGGCTTGGATTTTGATTGCAGAAGTAGAAACTAGTATTGGCCTTAAGAAAAGCTCTGTTTGTCATAGATAACTTATCTTGTCATCTGAAACAGGTTGCTGACTTTGGTCTTTCGCGTATCAAGCATGAGACGTACCTCACTACGAAGACCGGAAGGGGAACGGTATTTACTATAGAATCTTACCGAACTGATTCCTCTCTTTGTTCGTATCAAGTCATTTTTCGCATAATGAATTCCATTGCGTTTTACCTGTTTTGCAGCCTCAATGGATGGCGCCGGAAGTTCTTCGAAATGAGGCTGCCGATGAAAAGTATATTCTCGATTTGTGCTTGTTAAGTTCCTTTGCTTATTACTTTCTAGCCTTCATCTCTAACGAAGGTCCTCCTACTCTTTAACCTTCAGGTCTGACGTTTACAGCTTCGGCGTAGTACTATGGGAGCTTGTGACTGAGAAGATTCCGTGGGAAAATTTAAATGCTATGCAGGTATAGTTTCCGCATTTACGAAAAAAATGTTGAGAAGTGTTACAAGTACTGCAGCTTTTGGTCGCTTTTAAAATGAATTGTCTTGCTATAAAACACTGCCTAGGAAAGTCGCATTTTCTGTCTGCTCGTAGTTCCTATATATATGTATAATCCGCATGCACAAGTGAACCAAATATGAAGAGAAGCTTATTTAGGATCCTTGCAGGTGATTGGAGCTGTAGGGTTCATGAACCAGAGGCTGGAAGTCCCGAAGGATGTTGATCCTCAGTGGATATCTTTGATGGAAAGCTGCTGGCATAGGTACGTAGAAACAAATACTATTGAAGGTTTCATTGACGAGCGTAGATACTCGAAGGTTTATTCATTTTTTTAATGAAAACTTCAGCCTTTTAGCTATCAAATAGAAAGGATTTAAAGTTTGTTACAGTGACTATTGTAAATTTGTGCTGTAGAAGTGAACTTTGATTGCCAAGATGTAGAATTTTTCACTTTTACCTAAACAGATTAGCTGATTAAGGTTTCTAAAATTATCTTTCACAGCCCTGTTTGATTAACATGTATTTGAAGTAGATGTAGCAGAGCGGCTAATGCGAGTAAGATAATTTTGCAGCGAACCACATCGCAGACCGACGTTCCAAGAAGTTATGGAGAAACTAAGAGAGCTGCAAAGAAAATACACTATACAGTTTCAGGCAGCTCGTGCTGCATCAATAGACAACTCTGCCCTCAAGGAAAAATAAACCCACAGAGAAGAACCTGATTCGCTTTGAAGAAGACGGAGAAGAAGAAGAAGCTTAGCTATGAAAGCAGAAGAAGAGACTCTTTGAGTTTGTGTTGAAGCCGCAGTGAAAGAGACGCAGCAAGAAGAAGCTCGATCGACAATATTCTTTCTCATTGTGAGAGGCAATTCTTTTTTACGGAATTCGTTTCAAAACGTCATGTGCTTGCGAGGCGAGCTAGAGAGGATATATATATAAATATATAATTATGCCCGAGGCTGAACCGTTTTAAAAAGAAAAATAGAAAAGTCTGTACAGGTGAAAAAACGAGAATGAATCAACAACACTGATTTTGAGTAAATACTGTCGCATTTTATTGGATTGATGCCTTTGTTATTGTTTGTGTGTTCTGGAGTCAAACCATTCTTGTACTCCAACGACGAAATTTTTTTTGAGAACGGAATCTGGGGAATCGAACCGTACCTCAATACTTACACCAGAGGAAGGACAGGCCGCTTTGGCAAGTTGACTTAGTTTGTTCATAACGAAAGCAAAAGTCTTATATATAAACTGTAGTGATATCGTTCAGAGTAAATTAAACATTTTCAAATGCTACATTTATAGAGGTAAACCCAATCATGGCAGGCTATAAAGTTTAAACCCAAGCATGTAGCCTATCTAATTTCAATTATGTATTTTTGTTTAGATTAAAACATACTCATCATTCGAATTATTTTTTCAAGGATTAATGAAATTGAATGTCTACATAAATAGATTATATGTATTAAATCTTCCTTAACATTCAACTCGGATTTTTTTTCAGGTTGAACTGGAATATTAATAAATTTTAATGTCAAATAGATACTTTTTAAAAAAAATTGAAATATTGTGAATTGAAATACTGATGTCAAATTGTTTTGTTTATACTACAGTTTCGTTTGCATTCGAACCAGATTGATATGGTAATGGAAATAAAATATTTATCAAATTGATACACAGTTTTCTTTCTAATAGGCTTTTCCACCCAATTTAGATGAGAACTTATTTTTTTAGTCTGAATGAATTGAAATATTGATCAATTTGAATTTCAAATATATAGTTTGAGCTTTTCTTGTGCAAATTTAAAAAATTTGTGACGAGATGGAAAAAAAAAGAAAAGGGAGGTGCATCTATAACCGTTAAGGGAATCATCAAAAATACCTAATTTGATGACCATATATGTTTAATTTGTATTAAACTTGTTAAAGATTTATTATCTGAAACTTTATATTAGGTGATTGTGTCGAGCTATATATGTTTATCTCATTATATAATATATGTAAATACTATAACTTATTGCATCATGTATAAATATATGAAAAATGCTATAAGTGAGTGACGCCGAATGCAACAAAGTTGGATTTGAATTTCAAAGTTATGGAGAAAAACTCTTTGTTAAATCTCAATCCTAATCCAAAGTGTGAATCTATCTAGAATTGTAGTTGAACCTAGAGTTATGCCAAGAGTTGATGTTAATTCTTTAGCAAAGTAACTGTGATGTTAATTCTTTAGCAAATGTATAACTAAAACATGATGTGTATTGTTTTAGTGTATTCTTTTGTAGATTTACTTTCAAATTGGAACAGAAAAATGCAATGAATAGAAACCGCACTTTTTGATCTCTTCAACGTAATGTTAGATCATGCCTTAACGCAACAACTAAAGTTAGTGAAACCAACACCAAATTTAGAGACAGCCAAGTTACAAAAGTAGCTGATTAGGCCATCTAGTTTATAAGAGCATTTTTAATTATGATAATATTTTTCATACTAAAATGAAATAATTACAAAATACAATTAAAATTTCTTCAATGTATGACTGTATTTTTTATTTAAAAAATATTATTTTAAGTATATTTTATTATTATTAATTACTAATTATATATATATTTTACAAAATGTATAAAATAACCCATTCATTTAATTAATTTCAAAATTTTAAATGTATTATGGTTTATGTTATTATATTTTCTACTAAATAAATGTTATTTGTATTTTAATTTTAGAGATTATAATGTTTTAATATTTATAATCATTAATAAAAAAAGAAGTTATCATCAAAATAATTATTTATCTCTTAAAACAAAAATGTTAAGAATTTGAAGGACTAATTTATAAAAAAAAATTCAATTGCAAAAGGGAATTCAACTTAAAATGATTATATATTTGAAATCAAAAATAGAATTATACCATTATGCAATTGAAAATGAGATAAGGTTGAAGTACATTTTATTCCAAAATAAAATTTGAAACCAAATTTGATATAGGGTTGAAGATGTTCTTAGGGGCATCTTTGATATATATTTTTATTAGATTTTTTATTAATGTATGTAAACAAAATTTCAACACTTTTTAATAATAATAATTTATATAAAGTTTTTGTAAACAATGTTTAAGGACTTTTTATAAACAAACATAGATATTAAGTTTATTATCAAATAATTAATAATTTAATTGATAAAATTCCTTTTTTAGGATTTTAACTACTATTTTTTTTTACTATTTTTTTAATCATTTATGAAATATGGTTTTTAGTTTTGAATTAGATTGTTTTATTAACTATGGGTTTTTAATATTATCATTCTTTATAATTTTATATAGAATATATGAAAATAAATATTTTTAGACTTGTGTAGGGCATTTAAAATTATTAGACCGCCACTGACCAAACCGACCCATTATGGTTTTGTAACAAATCAAAATACATACTGGTTTTACTTCTCCCGTGTTTGTTTGAAAGTATAATTAACTAAATACAAATGTGCAACAGTATGCGCAGGCCAAAATCCTAAATATTGAGAAGTGCTTAGAGGTTGTTTCACTTGCCTTTGCGCAAGTCTGGCATAATATAAACATTTTTCTTAGAACCTGATCATGCTTGCATTTGAAAGTCTGTGTGTTTGGTTGCAAAGACAACAGGGTACTGTTAAATCAGCAATCAGCTTTCTTTTGCCTATGGGCCCTCTATCTAGTGTCTTTAAGTCGTGTTGGATAGTGACAGCAGAACAAGTTGTGTCGCAGAACATAGTTCTAGCTTCACTGGAAGAATCAATTGACACGTAGATTGTAATAGGCACGACGTTTCATCTTTTTATACGAAAGCTGCTTCGATGTAAAAAAGACTTGGTGTTGATTTCGTGTGTTCTTCATCTTCTTCTTTTTTTTCACATGGGGTTCTTCTTACAACGCAGGCGCTTTTGGCAGATTTTGAAGTGTCTGAAGGAATATACATTCACGGGCCTGTATTGAAGACTCGGACTCGGTGTGTTTGTGGTTGGGAGCAAATGTCATGCTGGAATATTCCTGCCAAGAGGTCCATTACCGTAGAATAAGTTCTGAAAATATTTGTTGTTCCATCAATCTGGAAATTGCTAAAGCAAGCCTGGAGGCTCTTGTAGTTGATTTACAGTTCTTGAGGGATCAAGTTACTCAGGTACAGGGATACTTATAAATTTTATTCAGCTGAGTCATTTCCTCACGAGTTTATAAGTAGAGGCCTGATATTACTTTAAATAACTGTAATTGCAATCTAGGTTACCCGCAAAAACTTGTAATGTAGATAGTAAAGAGTAGTTTATCTTTCTTGGCTAGATTTTGTTTCCGTGACGAGCAGGTTACTATTGCGCGTAAAACAAGATACCTCTACTGCCATCGCTGCTGCAGACGCGTGAATCAGAGAATCAAATTATAATCGTTTGGGCTTAAATGGAGGTAATATGATTTCTGCAGCACCGTTTGCCATAAACGGTTGTTTGTAACTCCTGATTTTTGCTATCTTGCTGAAATTTTTGTTTCTGCGACAAACCTATGAATAGAACATTAGCATTGTTATCATCGTTTGTCTTTGTGTATTTTCGCGGTTGAAGAACTACTTGTTTAAGGATATATCAAACTATTTGCTGAATCTAGTGGTCTTGATCAATGTTCTAACTTCCAAGCAGTATTAATAAGATGGGATGTTTGTAGAAGTGAAAGGAAAAATGACGAATTCAAATTACTGAAAGTCAAATTGTGTCATTTTTCTCGGACATTTAGGTTCAACATTGATGATGAGAGTCATGACGGCAAAAAGTGTAAATGAGAGACAAAAGTGATCAAAACGAGCCTTTTTTATTTACCTTTGCTCATTAGTGCATCTGCATTTGAAGGAATAAGGTTTTCATTTTCTTAATAGAAATTTTTTCCTTGTCACTGATATGATATTTTGTAGTAAATCTTTCGGGAGGGTCAGTAAATTAAAGTAAATTTCTTATTTGATGTATAAGAACAGAGCAGTATATTGATCAACAACACCAATTACAGTGTAAGAACCTAAGGTTTGTCAAGAGTCCCTCTCTCCCCTATAGCCGAAGCTATCCAAGATACATCCACAAAATGCATAAATCTCTAAGTATAATATCCTTTCTTCTAGAGGATAACTCTGAAGCAGACTCCCTCGGGAAGAGAGCTCTTGCTGTGTGCCTGGAAAACTTTTTTTAACTTTAATGAATTAAGTATTTTGACAAAAAAAAAAAATATCCTTTCTTCTATTTATAGTATCTTACTCTTTTAACAATTCTTCTCTTCTTATCTTCGTTAACAGCTTAAGACTTGCCACATCCAAGTCGTTGTTCTGCTACTCCTCCCACAAGCTTCTAAGCCACGGAACATATCAGCATCGTTCAATCATTTTGATGTTGATTTTTGTTCACTTGCTAAAGTAATTCACTTGTATCAGAACTGGGAAGTTGTATGTGAAAATATCATTTGGTTGCCAATACGAAGAAAAATGTAAAAACAAGATAAAGAAGATATTCTAAACAGAATTGTATAAAGCTTAAGATGATGATTAGTCTTTTGTGACCGTATTAGAAACTCTGTTTGTGATCAAAGTTAACTTATAGTGTCGTCTCAAACAGCCTGCCGACTTTGGTCTTTCGCGTATTAAGCATGAGACGTACCTCACTACGAAGACAAATCATCATCTCTTAAGCTTTATATTTTGTTTAGAATATCAAAGTTGGAAAAGCAGTTCTGATTGCAGCAACTTTGTGCTCCGTTAAACTTGTCTCTCAAGTCTCAACCTCATGAGTTTCTTCACACGTTGTACAGCAAGTTAAATCATGGCAATATATTCATATATATATATTGTCTCGTACGAAGTAGTTGGAAATCAATATTCTGTGGTTGTAAGGAAAAGAATTTTTTCGTGCGTGTGGAAGCCAAATATTGTTGACACGTAAATAAACTAAATACTATGAAATACAAAAAGGTCTTCCTCCACATAATTATGGAAAATAAGATGCCTTCTTACTCCAAGACTAAAATTGCTGTGGGTCCATTAAAAATGCGGATGCTTGTTGAAGCAATTTCACTTTTTCCATAAGCATCAAAATCGACTTTCTCTTCGTAATAAAAATCAACTTTGCTTCCAAAAATTTCGTGATGTCAGCCACTACGCACTTCCTCCTCCCCACGAATCCAAAAATGTTGTATACCAAATTTCACTTCCATTTAATGTTATTTATTCGTATTTCGTAACAGACTCTTTTAAAAGATTCTCATTTTTCTTTTGTTTCGGTCTTCATAAATGCAAGATCTATTTATCTATATATATGGCATTACATCAAATGCTTTCATTTCTGTTGATTTTTTTTTCTATTTTTTCACGTTTTCTTTAAATGTATCTGAAGAATCTGTTGTTTAAAATAATTAGTACAAGAGTCTGACTTTTTAATATTTGTATAGAATATAGAGTATAGACCTTAAGCTACTATATTTATGGCTGTATTATTAATTATTGTTAAAATATCTTCAATAAAATAACAACCAAAAGAAATGGTAGAATATATAACAAACCTTCCAAAGCAAGCTTTACAAGATATACAGTCAAAGTCAAACTTATGCCTCCACATTCCAGCCTCGCCCGTTTATATATAAACCCTACACTCTAACACGTCTCTAACGCTCCTTTAAGCCCTCTTCACAAGCTGAAACGACAATTTACAAATTTTCCTTAGAGAGAGATGTGTCCATCTGGTAGGATTGCGAGTTCCATAACCGCCGCGAATCCAGATTTCCGGCCGGCGTTCGAGGTCATCGACGCTGATCGCGACGGTAAAATCAGCAGCGACGATCTCCGGGCATTCTACGCCGTGATCCCGAGATCTTCCGGCGGAGACCAAGACGAGGAGATGATGATCGGGACGATGATATCCGTGGCGGACGAGAACAAGGACGGGTTCGTGGAGTTCGACGAGTTCGAGAAAGTTCTGGAGACGGCGCCGCCGTGCGGATCTGGTAACGGACTGATGAAGGACGTGTTCAAGGTGATGGATAAAGACGGAGATGGGAGGTTGAGCTACGGGGATCTCAAGAGTTACATGGAATCGGCTGGTTTGGATGCTAACGACGACGAAATCAAGGCCATGATTAGATTGGGCGGTGGCGATTCAAACGGCGGCGTTTCGTTCGACGGTTTGCTCAGGATTTTCGGGTGCTGAAATGAAAAATGCGCCTTCTTTTTTCCACCACCCATTTTCCAAAATTCAGTTTTGTCTGTTTCCATGGGTATTTGTGTCAACCGTATTTGAATTTTTATAAATAGATAATGTGAGGAAACTAATTATTGTTGGAATGATTCGTATATTAATGCCACAAATTGAGTTTTCTACAATCGTATATGTTTTCCCTTTGTAACAATTCGTGATGAAAACATGTAACAATAAGTCATCACGTATACATTTGAATTGTTACTTGTTAGGTGTTAATGCCAAAAGGAGACGTGATGAAAACATGTAACAATTCGTATATTAATGATTCGTATGGAATGATTCGTCGTATATTAATATCTACCAATCATTCCACAAAGTCCCCAAGAGTCTTGAAAAATACCTACGTATTAACCCTTAATCTTTCAAAAGAAACACTACTAGAATCGTCAAAAATTTCTTATGAATATAATATAATGAAGCAATTAGCCTAGATTCCCTACGCGTAGGAAAAAAGTTAGTCTCTAGTCTAAATAAATTCACAACTTTGCTCATGATTGAATTGGTTTGTAGGTGAACTTGCAAATTGAAATAGAGAAAAACAATGCTAGGAAAACCGCACTTTTATATCTATAAATATTTCAAATTAGTGTGAGATCAACCAGTTTCACTAGTCATGTGCAACCATAGAACAAATAAGAAAATGCAGTAAATGTTTAGATATTGGTTTAAAGTTGTGCTTGTTTACTAAACGACTTGCATGTTTGTATTTTTTTTTTAATATTTCGTTAATCGGTTTCTTCAAGAAGAATGGTTTGACAACTTCCATAACAATGACAGCTGGTGATGATGCTCACAATGATGATATGAAGATATATTTATTATATCCCTTGAGTTCACTCTTACGGTTATGGATCAGAAATATGAGATGTTATCTTATATATATCAATATCTCAATTTAGTGAGACCGCAATCATTTATATAACTCATCTGCAATTTTGAGTCTGAAGACAGTCTAAAGAGTTGGATGAAGATAACATATCATTTTACACAAGCAAGAAGATGACTTTCCATGTGTAAAATTCTCAGCCTTCTTGAATTGCGCAGATGATATGCCTAGTAATCTCATGACCATGCTATACATTAAGCTTGTTGAAGATTCACTATCTGGAACATTATATTAGGTGGGTCTCAGATGGAACACTAGAGACTGACTTTGTTTAAAGCTGATGTGCTTGAAGCCAAATATAACAAAGTTGGCTTTGAGTTCGAAGGGTATGGAGAAAAAATATCAACAGTCTACCAAAAAAACATCTAATATACATATATAATTGATATCATCTATGTATATACACAATATTAGTTAGATTAAAACAAAATATACCGAATTTTTATATTTTTTATTTAAATTCAGTTAATTTTGGATAAATTCGAATAATTTAGGATAATTTTAGATATTTTCGGAGTATAATATGGTATAGTTTTATATGTTTTCTGTATAATTTTGATTTTTAAAATACAAATCGAGAAATCGTTTGGTTTAACAAAGCGAACCAATAACCGACCAGATTTTTAAATCTGTTCGTTGGGTATTACTTCAGTAACCGAATCAAAATTGCAAACCGAAAAATTTGGTTTGGCTTGGTTTGGCTTGGTTTGGTTAGTTCGGTTCGGATAAAAACCTGGATCAGTTTTGGTTTGAAAGAGATGTGAACCAAATTCCAGTCTAAACATACATAACCAGCAAAACTGCACCGTTTACACCAGTGGGTCTGCTTGATCATGAGCAAGGCCTAAAGCCCACTTCAGACCCGTTAAGACTGCTTCTCGTTCGACACAGGACGACGACGTCTTGTTGGCTTAATCCCTTGGTCCGTGGCTAGCCAGCTGCTTTCACTCTCTCGTCTCTAAAGGCAAACACAAGTCGAACCGTTAGAATCCCAGATATTGAGAAATGTTTATCACTTCTTTAACAGTTTTGATCAATGCGCAGGCTAAAATCCCAGATATTGAGAAGTGCTTAGAGGTTGTTGCCACTTTGCAAGCAAGGAAGGGTACTGGTGAGGTTCGTCGTTGTAGAGTTTCATTGGTTTAGTTTTGAAAACTCTCTTTTGATTATACTTCGATAGCCTCTCGTCACTGATTTGGCATTAGTGCTTTTCTGTTTCTGCGTTTAAATTTGATGCTCTGAGTCTGATCAGTCTCTTGCTGCTTATTCTTAGTTTCATAAGGTTGAACTTTGATTTTACTTTGATTTTGGTGCGTACATGTGAAGATTCTTTCTCTTGTCCTTGCGCAAGTCTGGCATAATAAAAACATTTGTCTTAGAAGCTGATAAGCATGCTTGCATTTGAAAGTGTGTGTTCTTAGGATCAATGCTGATTTGGTTGCAAAGACAATAGGGTACTGCTAGATCAGCAGTCAGCTTTCTTGTGCCTATGGGACCTTTAACTAGTGTCTTTAAGTCGTGTTTGATGGTGACAGCAAAACATAGTTCTGGCTTTTCATCTTTTTATACGAAAGTTGCTTCGATGTATAAAAGACTTGGTGTTGATTTCGTGTGTTCTTCATCTTCTTCTTTTTTTCACATGGGGTTCTTCTTACAACGCAGGCGCTTTTGGCTGATTTTGAAGTCTCTGAAGGAATATACATTCACGGGACTGTATTGAAGACTCGGACTCGGTGTGTTTGTGGTTGGGAGCAAATGTCATACCGGAATATTCCTGCGAAGAGATCCATTACCATAGAATAACTTCTGATAATATTTGTTGTTCCATCAATCTGGAAAATGCTAAAGCAAGCTTGGAGATTCTTGTAGCTGATTTACAGTTCTTGAGTGATCAAGTCACAGTTACTCAAGAGATACTTGTAAATTTTATTCAGCTGAGTCAGCGCCTCACGAGTTTAAAAGTAGAGGTCTAATTTTACTTTAAATAACTGTAATTGCAATCTAGGTTACCCGCAAAATCTTGTAATGTAGATAGTAAAGAGTAGTTTATCTTTCCGTGACGAGCAGGTTACCATTGCGCGTAAAACAAGTTACCTCTACTCCTATCGCTGCTGCAGAAGAACAGGTAATCAGAGTTTCAAATTATAATCGTTTGGGCTTAAATGGAGGTAATATGACTTATGCAGCACCGCTCAGTATTGGTGATGAGAGTCATGACGGCAAAAAGTGTAAATGAGAAACAAAAGTAATCAAAACGAGCCCTTTTTTTTATTAGCTTTGCTCATAAGTGCATCTGCATTTGAAGGAATAAGTTTTCATTTTCTTAATAGAAATTTTTTCCTTGTCACTGATATGATATTTTATAGTAAATCTTTCTGGAGGATCGGTAAATTAAAGTAAAATTTTTATTTGATGCATCGGATAAGAACAGAGCAGTATATTGATCTACAGTACCAATTACAGTATAATATAAGAACCTAAGGTTTGTGAAGAGTCCTACTCTCCCCTATAGCCGAAGCTATCCAGGATACATCCACAAAACAATGCATAAATCTCTAGGTATAAACCTTTTTTTCTATTTATAGTACATACATTCTACTCTTTACAATTCTGTTACTCTTCTAACAATCCTTCTCTTCTTATCTTCATTAACAGCTGAAGACTTGCCACATCCACGTCATTGTTCTCTTCTTATCTTCATTGGAATTCATTATGCGAAAAGAAGATTCATATTTCTAATACGAATGTAAATACATATTTAGATTAACCCGCAAAAATTATAATCATAAGAATATTAACTTTTAAGAAAAGAAGATTACTATAAAATTTATTTTAAATACTAAATATACATAAGAATTATATAAAAATAAATTATTTTTTATTATTTTTAATAAATTATCTAAAATTGTATATAACTGAGTCAATGCTTATCCATTCTTAACTTTTTGATTTAATAAAAATATTTTTAATATCAAAAAATTTAATAAAATTATTATATAATATCTTTACAAAAATATTTTAATTTTTTACCAAGTTATTTTGTTGTATAAATTAAAAATAATAATATCTATTAAATTAAGCTTCCTGTTTTTTTATCATTTATGTATTTTTATATTGATTTATGAATCATCTATCTATACATCTTTATTTTCAATTTTAGTCTTTTAAAACATACTTTTATTTATTAATCATTTAAGTAATTTATATTTTTTATAAAATTCGAATTATAACACAGAAAAAAAAAATATATATATATATATATATTTTACTATATGAATGATGTGATGATTTATTTTTCTATAAAAATAAGAGATAAAATATAGTATTTAAAGAAATAATTAATATGATATATTTTGGTAAGAAATAGGAAAAGAGAATATCTTGATGAATCATCATCAATATAATTGATATAAACTAATGTATAACCAAATTAATGTGAATGGCATAACATGTCTAGTAACATAAGTCTATTTTTATAATTTTGCTAAAAATGATTCTGGTGATGACACATCAGCAAAATGACATCACTAAGATATTTTACCCAATTAAGGTTATTCTTTAAAAATGCTTCTCTTTTAATATATAGGGGATAATTTGCGTAACGGACTTGCATTGTATCAAGTTCCAACTACATTTTATAGCTACTTTCTATGTGTGCATCATAAGACACTCTGAATGGATCGAATCTAGGAATTTAGAAAACTCAGAAAAATTTCTAAAATTATCTTGATACAGTAGTATAACCAAATTACTTCCTAAAGTAGTAAAAGGGAAAACTTTTATTTCAATGGATTTTCGAACCTCACACACGCTTGAGTTAAGTTTTCGGCCTTCATCTAGAGCAACAAAAACAAAAATGTATGTGATCTTCGAATCCCTCAGTTATAATGGTGATATATGCATATTTGAGTGTTGTTCGTGTCAATGAATTATGATATGTTTTTCTTTATGTAACAAATGGCATAGTCGACAAAGGCAGATAAGATTAAATAGGTCTAAAATGCTTTATTATACTTTCAATTCTGTTTTGCTGTTAGAAATTTTATTATTCTATTATTATGATAGTCTTTTTGGATGTTATGCTATCAGTCTTCGAAGACAACATGATATTTATATAAGTTGGAGTTGACATAGATGACAGACTGACAGTGGCTCAATCGAAACAATATGCATGAGGGCTGTTAAAGCAAAAGTTAAAGGTGCGCAAACAACAATCTTATATTTTTAAATATTTTTCTTCCTTTTCTTCCTTTTCACGATTTCTCTTGACTAATTATACTACATTTTAATTGGTGATATAAAACGAAGAGTGATAAATAAATATATATTGGTATGAATATCGGATAGGTTATTAAAATTTAAGAAATGAAAAGGAAACATTTGGTTAAAAAAAAAACAAAGGAATTAACAATTGATATTATTAGAAGGGTTTCTCTTATTTTTTTTTTTTTTTTTTCATAAACATTCCGCACTTACAAGTTACAATATTTGTATTGTAAAGTTTGGTCCCCTCCAGTAATCGACTACAAAAGTGTACATTATTTCATTACCAATTCAATAAAGATAGCTCTGGCTAACAAATAAACCTATATAACTCTGGTTAAACCAAGATAATGAATCAAATTTACGAAAGTTTATAGTATAAAAAATAATATTCTGTCAAGGTTTTTAGCTTTTGTCTCAAAACACGTACTTGGGCAGAGAAGAGGCCTTTTGGAGAAGTCTTTGGACAAAACGGCTACTATGAAAAGATCGAGCAGATGGTTCATAAGGAAAGTTGTTGTCCTCCACTGGAAAAGATGCGATTGCTTCTTCTCCGTCCTTATAAAGTGCTAAACCGGTGGCAATCTGTGCATCTATCACCTCCAAAAATGCATATATATGTACGCACAAATTCAATCATGAAACTACGGTATAGTTTTTTTCTTAATTTATTCAAGTGTAATTGTAAATGAGAGTGAAGAGAACACAGATCTTGAAGACCAAGTATAAGATAGAAAGATTGTTATGAAGAAGATGATTTGTATTGACATAGATGGTGTTACATATATACAGAGAGGAAATATGTATCTTAGGAAATACAGTATATACGACATTAAGAGGAGATATTATGGCCGAGAATGTTGGCAATCATATCTCAATCACATTGATTGTAATATGCCCCCTCAAGATGGAGGTATCTGCGAAACTCCAATCTTGGTTCTAAGCATGGTGAAACGACTTCTCTCGAGTGGTTTAGTGAGTCCATCGGCTAGTTGGTCATGTGTCGAGACATGAGCTACACGCAATGTACCTTTCTGAACTTGCTCCCGAATGAAGTGGTAGTCTAAAGCTATGTGTTTCATCCGAGAATGAAACACTGGATTTGCACACAGATACGTAGCGCCGATGTTATCACAGTAAATAGTCGGAGTTGCTGCCGGAGTGATTCCCATTTCACTAAGTAACGAACAGACCCATCGGACTTCAGAAGCCGTGTTTGCGACAGCTCGATATTCAGCCTCTGTTGACGATCTTGCGATGCCTTTTTGCTTCTTTGAGGACCATGAGATTGGTTGATCTCCAAGATAAACTATGTAGGCATTAGTTGATACAAAATCGTCTGAATCCTCTGCCCAATCCGCATCTGTAAAGGCATGAACATTGAGATTTGTTGATCTGCGGATAAATAAACCATGTGTTGCAGTGCCAGCTAAGTATCGTAGGACTCTTTTTGCTGCTTGCCAGTGGTTACATGTTGGAGACTGCATATACTGAGAGAGCTTGTTGACTGCATAAGCTATATCAGGTCTTGTAAAGGCCAGATACTGCAGACTTCCAACAAGAGTTCGATACTCAGTTGCGTTTGTGTGAAGATCCCCGGTTTTGGTGAGCTTAGGTGATGTGGCCATAGGTGACGCTACTGGCTTTGTATCCTGCATATTCAACTTTGCAAGCAAATCCTGAATATATTTTCTTTGATTCAAATGAAGACCAGCAGGAGTTCTAATGGCTTCAATGCCGAGAAAATAGGACAGAGCGCCAATATCCTTAATTGAAAATCTGGTGGCGAGATCGCTGATAACTTTCTCAACAGCTTTATTGTTATTTCCAGTGATAACTATATCGTCGACATAGACTAAGACATAGATGATGGTACCTTGATATTGCAGTATGAAGAGAGATGTGTCAGCTAAGGAGTTCTTGAATCCTGTTGCTTCAAGATAGCATCGTAGCTCCATGTACCAAGCTCTTGGGGCTTGTTTGAGACCGTACAGCGCCTTTCTTAATTTGCAAACATGATTCGGTCTGTCTGCATCGACAAATCCTGGTGGTTGACTCACATAGACGTCTTCATTGAGTGTTCCTTGGAGAAAAGCGTTATGGACGTCTAGTTGTCGGAGACACCAATCTTTGCTAACAGCGATTTTGAGGACTGTGCGGATTGAGGTAGATTTGATAACTGGACTGTAGGTTTCCTCAAAGTCCACTCCTTGTTGTTGATTAAACCCTCGAGCAACAAGGCGTGATTTGTATCTGTCCAATGATCCGTCCGGTAGATGTTTGATTCGATACACCCATTTCGTATCGATTATATTCATCTCTGGTGTTGCAGGAACCAAATCCCATGTATAGTGGGCGATTTGAGCGTCGTATTCCATTGACATTGAACACCTCCAGTGTTCAGATTTCAGCGCTTGATTAAGAGTTCTTGGCTCCGTATTTGTGAAGTCCATTGCTGATACGGTGTTTGCGTATTTGGGGTTTGGTTTGTGGATTTGGTTTTGGGCTCTTGTTGTAACGCGGGTGTTTGGGTTTGGAAGATTTTTGTTGGTTGGTTTTCGTGGTTTTGGTTGAGATGTGTTTGGTGGATTTCTGATGGGCGGTTGTCTTGTATTTGGTTGGGATGGGCCTGGTTGGGCTTGATTTAAAATAGTGTTTGGGTTTGTTTTTGAGTTGGTGTTTGGTGAAGAAGAGGGATTGTCGTCATTGGAGGTCGATGACGATGATGATTGAGTGGATGTGGACGCCGTTGTTGACGATGATACATCGTCGGCGGAATTCGTTGGCGTTGGTTGAGACGTCGTGTCTGTTGGTGGTGCTGGTGTTGTTTCAGGCGAGACACTCGGAGCGGGAGCATTTGCTGTCAATGGCAGCGCTGCAGGTTGAGCTTGTATGAGTGGCAGATGAAGAGGAATCTGGGTGATTGGTGGAAGCCAATGTTGAGGTGTTTGTGTGGGAGTTGATTGAGAGCTGAGAAGAAGCGATT